GTGCCTACTTGTACGTTGTATTACTAAACCAACTCAAATCGCACCGATTTTCAAAATTCTTTCGCGTATAGAAAGCTAAAAACTCGGAGAGTAACATGGTGACATTATTGATTCTGTATAGTTACGGGAACAGAACCCAGACGCGGGCGGAGTGCAGGCGGAGCGTCAACGCGCGCTGACACGCTACCTACAGCGGCGACACAGGCCGTTGTCACTCATATTGAAACGGAATAAGGTTGAAGTTAATAAAGAAATGTTACAGACTGAAATATTATACTAAATATACTGTTATTTCAGTAACACCTGTATCCAGCAGTGGACGGAAACTCGCTGATGATGATGAATAAGAGAAGTATATTTGGCAGCAAAGAATTAGAGCGATTCTCTTTTTATTTGTTGATAAATATTTTCTCATTGAAAATACTTGTATACCTCTATTATTAATTGGTAGCGTATGTTATTTAAAAATCAATTTAGTTACCTTAGTGACTGCGTCGTTGGCCGACTGGCCGCAAGTGCGACTGCCGGGCAAGGGGTCTCGGATTCGATTCCCGGGTCGGGCAAAGTATTACTGGGTTTTTTAAAAATCTCAGTTACACGAAGTCTGGAAATGTGCCTGGTATATGACAAGAAGCTCACCTCCTATTACATGGGACTCATAACATAAATAGTGAAAAGTGGGTGTTACTTCTATGTGCACCTCTGGCTACCTCTTCGGGAATAAAAGGCGTGATATTATGTTAAAAAGGAGAATATTTTATTGTAAACTAGCGAGCTGCCCCGGCTTCGCACGGGTGCAATTTGCATGTATTATATATACATATAAACCTCTGTCTATTAAAAAAACCGCATCAAAATCCGTTGCGTAGTTTTAAAGATCTATACATACATAGGGACAGACAGACGGCGGATAGCGACTTTGTTTTATACTATGTAGTGATTGAATATTTTTTTGTAAAGTTATATAGAGTTCGATAGAATGTAAAACGCTCGTGCTCCGAGTTTTTACTCCCAACCTATTATAGTGTAGAATAAAACTGAAGAGACACAAAGTGAAAAATAAATAATTTTATTAGTTACGTTAACAATATATTTCACATACTATTTCCATACTTATGTACTGGCATCTGAAGGACGGAAGACCAAGGACTCTTGTTCTTTCTCGGAGACAAGTTGTGACGTAGTCTTGTAGGCTGGGGCATTGCTACAGGATATAACTCGTCTATCACCAGTCTTGGTAATATTGTTCTGGAATAAAACAATTGTATCTGTAAATTACAAAAAAAAGTCAACTATTTATTTAATAATTTATGAACACACAAACAGCACAAATGATTTGATAACACATATATAAAATAAGAGTATACAGGTGCCAATTATGCCTGTTGGAATTTCTTCCAGTAGACCTGGGAAAGGAAATGTAATTCAAACATAAGACTCAGTGTGTAACAGAAGAGAAAAAAAATATGTATGTATAAAAACTTCTAAAACTTAACTATTTAAGCCTACTTCCTACTAACCACTACTTCTAGCCCTTGGAGATATAAAAATGTAGACATTGTTATTATGCTACGCTACTAACAAAAGATCTATCTTACTTTTTTATTACCATATCTCTTTTTTGTTTTTATCTTGGCTTAATGCCACACACTAGGATTGTCTCCTGTATCGTGGGTGCGTTTACAAACATACAAGTTCACATACAGATGACACCCAGACCCGAAACAACAATTTGTGGATCATACAAGGAGTTGCTCCGTGCGGGAATCGAACCCGCTACACGTTGCGCGGCATCCGGTTGCCAAGCCACCGCGCCAATCGTGCAGACAAATGAAATTTAAAGACGCCGTGACTTCATAGTTTTATGGCGTTATATTTCTATTCAATTAGCTAAACATATACGAAGTCTAAGATGAAACTTCAATCAGTTAATAAATAAAAAGAAATACTGGATGCCATTCACTTTTTATTGAAGAAGGTAGACATTAGAAGGACACAAAATTAAAAACAGCACAAACTATGTAGAAGCACGATGGGATTGACATCGTCACAAAATGTGTACAAAAATCCCTTACAATAAATGAGATTTAAAAAAAAAGCACAAACTATGAAACAAATCAACAATCAGTAAGAAGACGTGACTCTTAATATGACTTACCTTCTAATCCACTGTGTAGTCATGTATATAAACAAATATATGTGTATCATAGTTTTGACCAAAACATTAAGGAACACGATAAAGTTTGTAATCAAGAAGAATGTAAGGATAATAATGTCTTTCACCATGTGACTGAAGTAGTTGTCGTTGCTGTGTGCAATAAATCCTCTTAATGGGCAGTACCTAGAATAAACAATAACAATAATTTACTATTAAAAGCCTATTGGCAAAGCGAGTAGTGGCGGACAGATTACGACCGCAGCGCACAACACGGCAGAAATTAGAAACAAATAGGGATGATCAGTTCTCAAATGTTGATTGCAGTACAAAATCAAAGCAAAGAAATGGACCATGGCTCGTATTAAGTAGCTCTGGCCGTTATGTCGCAGTTCTTCCACATTTCTTGGATGCTCGGCTAATACTAATTTATTGCCTTTTGTCTCAGTTTGTGGTTGGAAACTAATATTATGTGTAATAGTTTCAAACCCGGTTTTTAATATTATATTCATTTTACAGTAAAACTATTGAATAAATTGCACTTAAATAATGTCATGTTAAAAAGTAAAAATTTATCTAAACGTGCTGTTGTCTGATTTCAGTCAAGACATAATATGTAGGCTCTTGGTCTGTTTTAATACCCGCGGAGAGACTGAGGGTGAAGAGTTTATAGAAGTTTAAAGACGGGAATTCAACTTGTTACCTCATCAGCAGTCATGCTTCTGACATAACTGAAGAAAAGTGAATGTTAAAGTTAAAATATAAGCTCAGTGCTTATATTTTATTATCTTTTTCCTATTTGTGAAATAAAAATACTAATGAAAAATATTCTATGGCTACATCTATGCGTTTATCAATGAACTACTAAGGTGAAGCTCAAATGTACGAACAAAATCGTAGTAGTGTCTGTTTGGACGGCAAGATGTCGCTTTACAAAGAATTGTACTATATATAAGGTGTTAGATAATTATTACATTTATTAGTCCACCGATGATAAACCATGAGAAATTAGTTTTATTATATGTGAACAGCATAAAACTGTGTCTCTATCGACAGTTGTAGCAACCCTACTAAGTTTATTTGAGCATTATAGTGTTCCTAACTATGTAAACATCTACAATGAAAACACAATATACTTAGTAGTAACAGTACTTAAGTCACAAACACATCTTCACCTCAAATTGTATCCAGCACAATATTCGTAAAAACTTTCGATATATTGTACAACATAGTTGGGCTCCACATTGCTTGTACTATTGCCCACTGTTCGAGTAAAACTCCGGCCCAAATACACACCACTGTGCTTACTATAATTTGGTCTATATCTACTACAAAATATTCTGTACTGGTACTTGTTGCACAGCGTGTCAGTCGAACCTGGATACCCGCATGGCATCCCTGTGTCTTCTCTCATCTTTCATATTTTATTACTGTTTCTATTTTTTTTAAGCTTCGTATCTATTTATATTTATTTGTAGCAGATAAGTTGCGAATTTGATGTAGGATTTGTTCAAAAAGCATAACAAATCCTATCAATTTCGCAGCTGTCTGCGTAACGTGGCTTGACGTGACCTCTAAATTATGTATGTGACACTTTGGCCCATAGCAGAGACTATTATATTCTATATACGCCTGCCCTATGCCGTAAAACCGTAAAACAGGGTAAATAGAAATCAAAGGGTGACGCTCTCTTTTATTCACCCATCTTCAGTACCTTTACTCTTTCAAAATTTTTTTCACCAATTTTTATTTAAGATACATAATTACAGTTCATATGCGACCCCGAGAACCGACCAATAATAGGGCTACTGATAACGATTCTCGAATAGAAACCTTGTACTGATGTACCGGCAAGTACAGCGCAGAACTTCTACCTACAACTCCCGCAAAATGGACAGACGACAGATCTTTTTTTTTTTTTTTTTAATCTCATTTATTGTAAGGATTTTTGTACACATTTTGTGACGATGTCAATCCCATCGTGCTTCTACAACGACAGATCTAAAACTTGCAGAAAGCCGCTAGTTGTGCAAGTGCTTCGACTGGCTGATTTGGAACCCATAGAAGTTCTGTGACTGCTCTGATGATTGTGATGTCTTGTTTCACGTCCATCTTAATTTTTTTTAAGGGGGGTAATCCTCTAATGACTGCTTCCACCTGGGTGAGGCGGGAGGGAGTCTCAGACTCTTACTAACTAAAAACCACCTCCTGCACGTCGAGCCGGAGCCCTGGTTACCCGTTAGGTTCTCCGCGACTCCGAATCGCCATCGGCCCTCTTGGGCCCCCTTCTGTGGTGGTCTGATGGCTCTTTGAGGCGCGCACGGAACGCGACGCGCCGTACGCTCAGATATCCATCTTAATATTTGCATTGCCAATTCGTGACTGATACATTAATTTAAAAAGCAACTTATTTGATTGAATAAGAAGGGCGCAAATCATACGACAGTAAAGAGAATATATTAGTACGGTGCCATGGAATTTTAAATGTTTATCTTCTTGAACTATTTTCCTATGAGAGAGCCTAAGGGCTCTAGACAGACGGACCGCATTTTAACTGCAGTCCAACCGCAAATTGCATTTCGGATGCAGTTTGAATGCAGTCATGACCAAATGGTTGCAAACCAAACGATCAGTCCGATTGCAGTTCTATTGCAGGTTTCAACTGCGTTTAAATTGCAATTTGCAGTTGTAATGCCGTTCGTCAGTTTAGAGGGTTTAGAGCCTTAGTGTGTCTATGGTGGACTATGTTTAATACCACAAACAAAACCTTTACTATACCGTACTTAGGATTAAAATTTAAAACAACGTACAGAAGAAATTTGACACACGTCTGCTGTCATAAATATAGAAAATCATGGCATAAACTATTTTTGTGTTTGTCCAACAAAATAATCTAACAACAATTATGTGAACCACCACATAATTATATCCAATAATGACGATACTTGCTAAGGAACATATAAACCGTAAATATTATTCAGGTCCATTCAGGTATGTGACAAAATGAGCAGGGCACAGGCCACTGGACGTGATTATTTATTTATTAACATAATTTAAATGAAACGTGAAAAGTTTTCATGTACAACAACAATGTTAGATGTACCTGCTGTAATCCATGGTGAACAACATCAGTTATGTTTACTTTTAACAAAACTCATTGATATTCATTATTCACATACCAAAAACTTAATCAATATTAATTTAAAGCCCAGGTCGATACTCTTATTTTAGATCCTAGTTCATTAAGGCCTTCTGCCGAAGAAAATAGACATATTTTCTTGTACACAGAAACAGACTCGCGCGACACCATTGCTCGGTAACTGTACACAAGTTGTAGTGGTTCTTCTAGGTTTATAATATCATTAAACATCGCAATAATAACTTTACTTCGATATCTTCTACTTCAGATGTCTGCTACATCATGGAACGCTCCACCGACGACAGTTCTGATCCAGTTCTGTTCGCAAAAAGCGAATCGTCACTGTCCTTGAGCTCAAATTCAGAAGAAAATATTAAAGTAATATCATATTTGGATAGTAATTACCAAATAACAAGTTCAAAACACTATTTATACTGCTATGTACCTGATAGATACAGTAGTACACAGGCAAAGCAATCCGCTTATATTTCGGATGACTCCAGCGGTGAAGAGTTAGTTATCCGGTATATTTATTTGTTTTTTATTCAAATTTCGTGTCGAACATGTCGTGGTGGCCCGGAGGTTTACGACGCCCGGTTCTCATTAACGAGGGTGCAGGTTCGAAACCTGCCAACTGCAAGTACCAATATGCCTCCTGAGTTACTTTCTAAGATTATTTAGACATCACTGACAAAGGATAAAGAAAACATTGTGGGAAAGCCTGGGCTTATACTAACAAGTTATAATTTCTAATATCTATAAGTTTAAAATCGCCAACCCGTCGTAAGTAAGCGTGGTTATTTAGTGCTCAAACCTTATAATGTTGATGATGATGATGACAATTCACATTTCAACAGGATTCTTACGTAACAGTTGAATTAAGTAAGTTTTGTAACAAATATAATGTAACTGCATATTTCATTTCCTAGAAAGTATTTAATCGGTTTACTTGACAGCGGTGTATTGCACAGTACAGTTTATTAATAGTTATTTTCCTATAGGATAACAGCTTCGTGGTTGTCCTAAGATTCGTTCCTACATCATTAGTATAACGTATGTCATCTCAATTATAATCAATTCAATTATCCTTTATAATAGTAATAGATCAGTGAGTGTGGAGAGCGACGCGAGCCACTATACTGACTTGGAAGATAGCCATGGAACAATACATGGGCATAGATACATTGTATACAGACTGTCTCAACAAAACCAAACCGAAATGTATAGTACTGAAATAGAAAGATTGAGGAACAAGGAACCAGTAATAGTCATTGATAATCTAAATGGCAAACATGATATACAAACAATGGTAAATCAAATTCTAGCGAAAAATGAATTCTCCAAGGTTTCCTCACTTTATGTTGTTGTACCAACATCAGACGAAGATGTTTCTAAACCTGTGAAGGCACCTCCTCGGTCCACAATTTGTGTACAGTTATCAGAACACCATAATTGGAACGAAAATGACGAGATTGATGAAACAGGTTAGAATGGCGTATAAATATCATAGATTAGAATTTACTTTTGATTATCAGGCTTTTTCTTCTGACAATTTCGAAACTGAAACCCAGACTTTGCCAATCATAGGGCTTAGTACGAGTTTGTTCCACGTTTAACAAAATCGATATGACATCGCATTCGGTGGTCTGATTAGACGGCTCGAATGTACCAAAATAATTGCTTGAAGCCCTCAGATGAATTTTCTTTGTAAGCACGGACACGGGTAGCTCACGGCCCGATCAGAACCAGATCCGAGCGTTTGGCGTGCGCCTCAAAGAGTCATCAGACCACCACATATGGGGCCCAGTAGACGGATAGCCGGGGCTTCGGCTCGAAGAGCCGAAGTAGGAACGGGTGGTTTTTAGTTAGTAAGAGTCTGACACTTCGTCTCGCTCCATCCAAGGCGGGAGAAGTTGGGATGATGTTCCACCCTCAAAAAAGGGGGGCAAATTAGTTGACGAATCACCCTATTGTATGAACACAAATAACATGCTAACAAAAACACAAATGTTCTCTCTTTATAATATTAAATATATCCAGATAAATTTAATATCAACTAATAATATCCCCTTCAACTGGGGTAAAACTAGGTATAAGAATTATATTATTTAAACTAAACATGTATATTTTATAAATTACAGAATTAGTTTCTCCCCATACACGTGGCTTGAAGATATCAACAAAAGGTAAAAAGTTTTGTTTGGAAGGTTTACGAGAGACACTATCGTCTCTCAATGAGGAGGAAACTACGAGTAAGGTCAAACGTCCAAACTTTTTAAAAAGATTCCATAGGCATTCAAAGAAAGAAAAGATGGAAACGCCAGAAAGTACAGAAGAAAAAGAATCGATAGTAAACAGAGTGAAGACAACAAAGAACAAGCTATGTCAAATAACTACTCCTGAAGAAATGTTTCGCAGATTTCCTCGAAGTATGAGTACTGACACTGCTGTCATCGACCAAGCATACTGTGATTACACTAATGACAAACTCAATGAATCATCGAATGTCGTATCTGAACTGATCACTCCTCTACTCGTAAACCAAGGTAACGTATATAGTTAAAGTTAATAAGTTCAGTAAGCAAAAGCTTACTCTTACAAGGTCGGGATTCATGTTTTCTTATAGCTTTTCATGATTCATTTTTCATTTAAATCATTTGCCACATTGCCAGTTCACCCCGCTTTCCTCAATATTTTAAGTAAGTTATTTTTAGCGAACCAGTAATGAGGTCTCTCTTGGATGTGGCGATGTTTAACATCATTGTGTGAGTCCTGCTTTGGCTTCCTATTCACTTTTGTCTACTCTTATTTAAACGCTTTCTATAGATTTCGTCTATCGAAGGTTGATATCCATCAACCTTGTATGCACACATGCACACAATTGTTAAATATGGGTTGATTCGAATTATTAGTTAAGTATTTGGTATTTCGTATAGGTTTGAAATGCGATACACATCGAAGCAGGCCGATGATGATGAGCGTGACGCAACAAGCATCAATCGTGTCCATGAGCCGTGGGTGCTCAGTAGCTCCATGCCAGTTGTCTACTATCGGCCGAGAACGCCGCAACGCTGTGCAATTGGATGAATGTCCAATACGGGCAAACTGTCCAGAAGAAGACACCGACAAGCCTCCAGATATACCGGATAATTGTCGTTGCTGCCCTGAAAAACTAAAGCAAATGTTGCAACAAGCACTAGAGCAAAAGGCACAGAATTTGAGGTCCACAGGATGTGGTGGTGTTCCTGAAGATACAGGGGGTAAGTATTTTAATGGTAATTTTAAACGTCTTTATTTTAAATAGATATTACCACTTTCTTCTTCTTGCTAAACAGGGTGGTTTATTATTAGACCAAAATCTCGTATGGGGTTGTAGAACACATAATTTCCAAAAATTTTGTCAAACATAGGGATGGGCAGAAATGAACAGTTATTAAAATATTTTTATAGTAACTATCGTGACACATACTAAATTAACTAAAAATCGCCGGTTACTAGCCTGAATGAATATACTGAGAGTAGTTAGGCTGCGCGACATCGCGGCGACCGCACACGCTGCTCTGGCTGAAGAACCCCTCTATGGTTCGAAACTAGTAAAGATTTTCTCAGTATATTCACTTGAGTAACCCGTGAATAATATTATTATTGTGTATTTGATGATTAGAACTAGTAAAGTAAGTTAAATAAAAAAAGAAAATTATGTCAAGTGCGTTTCTTTTTATTTATATTTGATGGGCCTACGGCTGACCACTATCTCGCCTGGTAGTAACCGATGATGCGATCTACGATGGAGCACGTTGTCCCATAAGCAACCTATTCGCTCGGGCCTTGAAGACCTACTAACCTAACCTGGGTGGTTATACCCGTCAGGAAATACAGACTTTGGCAAAATATTCTACTCCTTAGCAATACGCACGAGGAAGCTTGATGCGAAGCGCTTCGTGCATATGGGTTGGACTTCTACCATTAATCGGTGATGCTTCGCCGATTGTCTTGTGGTACGATTCTGTTTTGTTTTTTCAGTTCTGTAGTTACCGCACTAAACACTTTAATAACTGTTCATTTCTGTTTATCCCTTTGATTGATAAAATTTGGAAACGATCTGTTCCATTATTACAATATTAAATCACTCATATCAATTTAGTTTCAAGTGGTGGTTTCGTATCGCCACGAGAATGACTCTTCGTATAACTCTTCTAGCCGTCCATGGGTGGCACCGATTTCTTATGTTTGGTGAATGGTAATGTGGTATTTGAAAAAAACTACTATATTGAAAAATAAATTAGAATCATAACTTTTGCTAAATAAGATGAACACGTCCTATAACAAAGTGACTTATTTCAAAAATAATATAAAAATATAACCAAAAATATGGCATACTTTCTAACTTTATTTTTTACACCTTCATAGGAAAAAATTGCTTTAAAAATAGTTTAGGGTCGGTTATGAAAAAATCGTTCGTATGAGTATTTCTGGCCAGAGCTTAAAAAATATTTTTTATATAAATGGGTACCCTCAAGATAGTCCCACTGCTATAAACTCAGGTCTCTGGTCTACAGGATCTTGGAGAAATGAAAGTAAAATCTCAAAAATAAGCACTGTATTAAGGTATTTTTTGACATATTACATTCATTTTGTTCAATCAACGATCAACTGACAAATATCTTCTTATTCACCTGATTATGAAAACGAGTGAGCAACATTATTCACTCGCCGCGTCGCATCGCTATCGTTATTCGTCTCTCATTTGTGTTGATGTAAATGAAACAACCTCTGTCGAGCACTCCTTGCGTTGCCACTGACATTTCTGTCTCATCATAATGCAATAAGTCAAAAAAAACAAAAAGAGAGTCCTGGAGACCGGCAAACTGAAGGTCTACTCCGGTTCTCGAATGCGAAGTTTCGTTTGATTTGTGGTCCCAAACAACATTTTCGGAACCATACACAACTTTCGTGAACTACAATGAACGAATGAAGTGAAGATAAATAAATAGGGAATAAGTAGGTTTAGATTCGAAATTACATATAAAATTTTATTTTAAGGAATTATATTACTAAAATCATAATGCCATGGCCTAGGACATATATTCGTCAAGAAAATCATGAATAAGCTTTTAATATTAATATTTAAGATGGAAAATCTTAAACAGGATAAGAACCTCCTTTCAAAGATTTATTATGCGACTTAGTTAAAAAGTTTTAGAATTTTGGTAATGTCATTTATTGACATTTATGTATAAAATATTGACAACCAAATTTATTCGTATTACGTTAGTACAGTCAGTCTAAAAATTATAAATGTCTACATGAGAATTTGAAGAGACTAAATTATTTCGTGTTATGATGGTTAACAATATATTTTTGAAAGAATTTATATTATCTATAAATGTTGTTATATTAATAGATGTGAAAGAATAGCGAAAATATTTACTAGCAATAGTTAGGTTTATTTTTCTAGCGGTATTTTTAGTTTAAAATAAAACATTACACATGAAACATTTATGTACAGTACATAAGGTATTCAAATAAGTATTTGATTACCCTAAATGTGACTAACTGTCATAGACATATAAAATATATAGGTTCGTGTTAACAACTATTTGCGCTGACTGTACATTGATTTTATATCGTCATTTAAGTAGTTCTTTTGGTGTCCTACGTGTTGCTCACACGAAGCAACCGTGATAAAACGAAGACTTGTAATTACAAGTCTTCGTTTAGTTTCGGTTAATTTTTATTGAAAAATGAGTTAACTCATTTTTCAATAAAAATTAACCCAAACGAAAATCAAACGAAAACTATTTTGGTTTCGTCGAAATGATATTAAACGTCCGAAGAATAATCTGTCAAACTCGAATTTTCGTTCGTGTGTATTGTACAATTAGAGTTTGTGAACCGATTTCCAAAATTCTTGTTTTGTTTGAAAGGTATACTCCTGAGATGGTCCCATTTCCATGAGGTCAGGATCTGATTATGGGATCTTAGGGAAACCGAGGGCAAATTTCTAAAATTCTAGGGGCGAGTAATGCGTCTATTATGTTTTTTAAACACTACTATTTGATAAGGGTCTGGAGTCGACCTGATGATGGCGCCGACAGACAGTCTTGAGAACTCCTCAGCGGTTTATATTAACTACCTTGTGTTTGGGCTTGATTAATCTGTATTGATGAGGACTTTACACCTAGATAGAGTGTCTATAAGGGTCTGATGATGAACAAGTGTAATTGTTAAGGGAACTCCTCAACGGTATACAGTAACTACCTTGTGTTTGGGCTTGTATAATTTGTATTGACTAGAACTTTGCACCTATACAGATTATAAGTGACAAAACGGTTCTATGTAGCTTTACACTAAAAATGATAAAATAAAAACTGCGTTTAAAAAAAAAACTTCAAAAAACCACTTCTAACCTCAGTGAGTGGGTAACCTATGAGTACTAATGATAATTATTTGTTTCTTTTTAGTTTAGACTTTTTTATAGCAATTTTTCCATACGTATGGTTAAAAAATAAAGTAAGGGATTTTGATGTATTTTTATTACATTTTTATTTTTATTTATACTTTGTTATTAGACGTGGGGTAATTTCGTATGGATTATAATCCTTCTTCTTTTTATTATTCGTTTGTTTAGATGACTGTGGGCACTCACAACAAGAATGCGATGAAGATGCAAGTGCAGGGTGTACGTGTAGTGGTACAAACAAACGAATGTCATGCCCGTGTCAATTATTTCCGCTGCCTATATCTAAAACTACTAACGGTCCAAAAGAAGGGACTAGATCTTTAAGCTGCCAGTGCTGCAATTGTGAAGAATCTAAACTGAAATTTTGTCCAGGTACAAAAAATTTGGGATCGTGTACAATGGAAGTAGTAGGACCCGCAGGTGGAATCTCACTAATAGAACCAAACGGAACTTACACTCAAGCAGGCATGATACAGACCCAGGTCGCTACTAGCACGGACCCACCCCGAAAGGAATGTGTCTGTGACGAGAAAAAGGCAAATTCCCGTTTTAACTTTATGGGTGGATTCCTCAAAAGCAAACACGTTACTAAAAATGTTTGCGACTGTTGTCCGGGACCCGAATGTAATCCTGAACCTGAGCCTGAGCCTGAGCCTCAAATTGTGCTTAAGCGAAAGCCTGATCATGACATTGTCATTACACCAACTCCTGGAATTGTGATTGTGCCAGAGCCTGACCCGCCGGACGAAAACCTACTGAAACGAAACGCTGAAATGATTGAAGAAAGAAGAAGATTGAAACAAAAATCAGATAGTACACATGCAATATCTGGTTTCAGACTGTTCAAGGGCAAAGCGCCTCCACCCACTGCAGGAACACCAGAAGTAGAGCTAACAATGGAAGAGGCTGTCAGGTACTATGCTAGTTTAAACCCAGAGATTATACAAGATTTTATCCCTCCTCCAATAGTCATCGAAGAAAAACCTTTCAAAGAGTGTTTGTGTGAAGAGAAGAAATTAGAGAAGAAATTAAAGAAGAAAAGGAAGAAAACAAGGGTAGTGAAAGAAACTATTGTCATATGTGAATGTCCCCTTGACCCTGAGCCACCACCGCAGCCAGAACAAGATCCATTAATAATAGTAGTTCCTGATAGTATGCTAAAAACTGAGGAAAAACCAGACGGTGAGGATGCGGAACCACAAGCTGAACCTGTACCTGAACCTCCATTAGATGGACCAACCGGAGGAATCAAGTTGGCTATGACTGGTAAAGGTTCCGGATCTAAGGGTCTTTCGAATCTATATTGCTTCGAAAAAGATGAAGATGAACTGGATAAAAAAAAATAAGTTGATATTCTGTACGAAAATGAATCGGTTCTAAAAGTTAGCATTTCCTTTCGTTATTTAACATATTAAGATCAAGTTTCCTTCCACCTTCCACCAACGTACTATGTGATATTTTAAAAAAGGCATTTATTAAGATTTTATTAGTTATAAAAAATATTTTATAGTACCACTGATCACAAAACTTAATAAGTTTCATTTGGAATACATAAATCTTTGCTACCGTCATATTTAATTTATTAACCGACTCCCCAAAACTGAAAAGGTTCTTAATTCGACTGTTATCGTTTTTATGTTTATAATTCATTTCCGTATTTAACTTATTCCGAGAATCACTCAAATAAAATCGTGATGACAACATAATTCTATACACTACAGACATAGACAGTCTTAGTAGTTAATAATTTTCATATCACTAACGAGCTTTTGCCCGCGACTTCGTCCGCGTGGAATAATAACTCCTGGCAGAATTTGGGTTTTAAATACTTTTCCGATGTACATACATTCTATGACTGCAGCATAGATCATCAGAATCGATTCAGTATCTAAGTTATATTTAGTGTTAAATTGATTTACTATCGAAGTTTATCTAAATAATCTAAATAATCTTACCGGGGTTTTGCCACAGTGCCTCTTCTCGTAAGATTTCAGCGAGAAAATCTACTCTATATCCTTTCCCGAGTTTTAAATCATCGTTGTAATTTCACCCAAATAGATTCAGTGATCTAGACGGGGATTTTAACACATAGTTACCGTTCTTGTGGGATTTCCGTGCTAAAAACAATGGACATCTAAAACTATAACTATACGGGATATGATAAAAGTTACAATTTTCCCACTTTTTTCTTCTATATGGGGTATATTTCCAAAAATTTTTGTGTCACCCTTACCCTATACAAGTACACATCTAAAGAACACACATGACAAATATCAGCTCTCAACGACCAGTAGTTTCTACTGTGCGTTGTCTATCAGTAACTCGGTCACTCAGTCACTCAGTAACGGAAGAGTTTTATAATTATATAGATATGTTGACCAGGCTTTAGCTGTACAACAAAATATCCGTCCATTCATTCCGGAGATTAGCCTGTGCAGAGTACTTTTACTGTTTTGTTAAGCCTGTACAGATCATTAGATGCCAACAACCTTATCATTTGTTCCCGTCATTCACAAATATAATTCCACAGTAACAAGGATATTCTTGGGGTCCGTATAAAAGTGCCGGTCCATTGCGATACATACATATTGATATAAGACACTTTTCTTTGACTACAGTACTCGCTATACGTGAGATAGAGAAAGTCCCACGAGGTCATAAACAAGACATAAAAAATATCGATCATCTCCATTGAACCTTTATTCAGAAACATTTATTTTATGAATAACAATAATTTGCTATTTTATTAACAATTTATAATATTTCCCCGTAATAGATATGTTTGATACGTGGATAGATAAACTTACTATACTAAACTTATAGGATACTAAACGTATAATTACAATAGTAATGACTAGTAGGGTACATATTACTCTTAAACGTACGTGGATACCTTTCATATAACGGTACCATCAGGAAATAGAACAAATTACTCAAAAATGTAAAACTTAGATAAAACGTTGGCAAGGGAAAGTAAACAACTGACTTTCATTATTCTTTCGGACCACAACGATCCAAAGATATTCACTCATTTTTCTCATACACTATTACAGCACCAGTCCTATAGTTTACTTCTTCCTAATAAGGAATCGCCATACACTTATGGGCCTAAGTCAGTCATCGTATCAGCCTAGTGTATAAAGTCCAGCTGGGCGTTCAATCTAATCTTAACTCAGCGAAATTGTTTTCAAAACTTTCTTTCTTTCCCTTTCTTCTCTCCTACTTCATGAGGGTGCATACATAAATAAACAAGTCTATACGGGTCAGTACCGAATGGTGCAGGTATACTCACTTTAGAAACAGGTACCGCATGGGCGGCATAGAACATATTGAAATATTATACGTGGGCCGATCCGTACCAACCCGTACAGATTTGTCTATCCGTACAGACATGTTTCTTTATGTAAGCACCTTTAGTTTCTCTAGCAACTTAGAAGGACATGTAGAAAGATTTAAAGACGATAATAAATATGTACTTATATCTAATTGATATTTGGTAAATCTCGAAGTTAAATACTTCTACTACATTTTTAACTTCGGAGGTGCATTTAAGTCTCGCTGTCCATCTGTTGACTAATATGATTTGTTGTGGTAGGCATTCGAGTCGGTTGTCCTTATCGGCATGATCAGTCCGTCTTGAGTGATAGGTTTACACGAAATATGACTGCTGACCAGAAAGACAGTCATCGTTATCGTGAGGGCAGCCTAACACCACGCGACATGAAGGTACAGTAGGCGGGCAATATGGCTGAAAAAGAAAAACTCAATATAAGTAATATTAGGTCGGTAAGGTTACGATTAAACTGCAGTGGTTTTTAAACCCCCTTAAACTGTCGAACACCGCGAGGACACCGGTGACCGCAACCTATTGTTCTTTAATTGTGTCTATAATGACGGTACTCAAAGAGTTAAACTGAAAAGGTTTATTAAAACAAGCTACAGCTATTTATAAACCTGTCGCGAAAAAGACTGACGGTGTACTAGTCCCTTGACTACGGCGACTTTTTGTAGTGATGTTGTCGCTCGATCACTAAAAGCCCGTCAGCATCGCTATTGACGTGTGTTAGTTGCATTTGCAACGCGCTACAGTATCAATGCCAACACGTTACTGTATCGATACAAACGAGCGACCGTAATGTTTTTGCATCTATGTTACTGCTTCTAGGCTGCTTACATAAAAGCAGCACCAAAGACAACGTTATTAATTGCCTTAACAAAGTTAATTTTGCAACTGTACAATTTGAAGGTAGTTAACTGAATCGTATTTACATCGTGATTGTACGTGACGTGACGAGGACCTACAGCTAGCGACTGGATCGTGTTTGTATGGCGAGGGGCCTAATGTACTTCAAATAATATTATCCACACGACAATACTGATTAGGAAGGTAACGTATGCCGTACCAGAGTATTCTGCATATTGGAGCATGTCGCCAGTGGATTTGCGGTAATGTTCGTCGACTCGAAGCATCTGTCCTCCTTCGTGATGTCCGGTTCTCGGTGGAAGCATCCTGAGAAATGCATCAATTTATGACAATTAATGGTAAAATCTGTTAAATTAATTTGTTAGTTCTATTAAACTCCTAGATCAAAACAGAGATCTGAAATGAGAGATTACGTGTCTTTGTTCACCATACAGCTTTTCCATAATTATAGGTACTGTAGCATTTGGTACTTTTTGCCCAATAGATAATAATTTCCTAGTGTGAAATCGTTGGACAGTCGATTTTTGTCATCAAAAACGTTAGCCCTCAGTGAGATCTGTGAAATTCGGCAGTTACTGTTAATAAACTATTCCACAAACCGTTGGTGTTTCGTGGTACCAGGTCAGGGTTAGAATCCTCGTGGTCTCGTTTACCACAGAATATCTTAACTACCAACGTGATGGCTGCCCCCGTAATGCCGAGGGTCACTATTCCTGCCAGTGTCTCGACGTAAGGCATCCACTTTTTAGCAATTCCATTACTCCTTTCAACTACAAAAAAAGGAGACAAATACAAAATTAGAAAAAGTGTCGTAAGAGAGAATCGGTAAGATGGATAGATAGGGAGTTGTAAGAACAAGAACAAATACGTCTGAAATTATGTCCACACCGCAGCGTGGGATTAATTTACAGTTCTTTTACAGGTACATAATTTTTATTCACATACGTTCTGTTTTCTCCTCGGCTATTACATCGCTGTAAGATTTCAGTATTTTTTTAATTTGTTGGCTTTTTCCTCTCGTATTCGCAGCATAATAGACCGCAGTAAAATTCTGGTGTTCCGGTAGATTCTTCAAGTGATAATTTCCAACAGCATCCGACACATTACGGAGTAGTCTGCCAGTTTCGTCGTACAGTTCAAAATAGACCTTCTGAGGTCGTCCTCCATCCCAACCTGGTTATAAATTAATATAGTTGTTATTATTCAAGTCCCTTTACAATCATTTCAGAAATTAGTATTTAGATCAGAAATAATATGCTACTGCCTAGCAAAGAAGTTTAGATTTTTGATTTGGATAAAAAATGGCGTTTCTGTATAACTAGCAAGAATTATTTGATTATTTATACAGTGGACCGGTGCACACAAGTGCACCTGTTGGCTAGTGAAAGAGGTGATGATATGCATACTAACAGTAGTAGCGTAGAAGCTACCTGCGCAAGGTAACTAATTACTAAATATTGTATATCTGTAAACGCGTGATAACCGTCACTAACTATAACTTGCTAATGTTTGTAATTAGATGTAATTGATATGCCTAAATACAAATTATTAACGAAAATGTCTAACCAAGTCTGCAGTGGACAGCGAGGTGGTTGGGCACAGTGCGTTGGATATCACAGTCGGGCGTCTCAGGAGGTCCGCCAGCAGTTATATTGAATACACAAGGGTTCTTCTGTTCCCCAAAAGCATTGGTAGCTCGGCACTGCAGCAGACCAATATCGCCGCCACGAGAAAGCCAGGTCAGGCTTGAAGAGTACCGGTTCCGATATGTAGATATCCTCTGAAAATAGTGGCTAATAGTTATGGGAAATAGTATAATAAAATGCTCATTATTGGAATCATACCAAATACGTGCGTATATTTATATAAAACAAAGTATCTATGCCTTCATTTTAGTAGGTCTCCACCTACCGATTGGAAGATAAACTTCATGACGACGGAGCTATAAACTTCAAAATACAACAAACTAAGTATGTTAAAATTGCTTTAATCACTGATAATTTTGAGGAATGATAGCCCTCTACAACACAGGGAAACGAACTTACTTCTCTATTGACAAAGTCTCCTCTGACAAAATGGATTGTTAATCAAATCTATGTCTGTCTAACTTGTTTATCTATCATCAATATCATTCACTAACCGTTCCGCTCGTATAGAGTGTTTTCGAATCCTCAAAAGTCCACGTGAACTGCAAAGGCTCAGGAGAAGCATCCACTATGCAATGGACTGTCTCTGCCTCTCGTACAACAGCGCCGACCCTCTCCACACGACCGGTCTGACAGGTGGGCCGATCTGAAAAATATGAAGATTGGAAAATCGGAAATTAGTACTTAATAAGGATACCGCTAGAAAGACTTTTCTAGCCTATGTAAAACCAGATTTAAACAAGATTTGAGCTGGTAATTGGCGAGAAAATGACAAAAGCGTCTATGAGTCAACGGAGTAAACGTGGATATAGGAGCTTCTACAATATACATGCTATATACAAGTAGCAGTGGCCCGGTGGCCATGGATGAGGGCGCGGGTTCAAAACCTATCATGTGCGTATGTGATATCTTCCGAGTTATATATACTTTCTGAGATTATTTAGACACCACTGATAAACGGCGATGAAGGTAAACATCGCGAGGTAACCTGCGCTTATAATTTCTAATTATAAGTTTGTAACCGCATTGAGCAAGCGTGGTGATTAATGATTAATCCTTTTCCTTGCTAGACTCTTCTAGCAAGCCTTTGGTTAACAATGGCCACGTGTAGGTATAAGAACCGTAGAAACGCACTTGTAATTATTCTGGTGTTACAGAAGATTGTGGGCGGCGCTGATCACTTTCTATTACATAAAATAGAAAAGAAAATTCATGTCTCTCAATCAATACTCACATCCAACGTTTATGACAACTTTGTCCTGGAACAGTTCCGAAGGCATGTGTGAATTATGAGCTCGGCAGCTTAGTTCGTAGTGTGATTCTTGGAGGGAAGGCGATAAGGTTAGTGTCGACACCGTATAGTTCCCTTCGTTGACCTCCTGGAATTTCGCAATGTTTTGTTAATCAAGCAACATCTTGTTTTCATTAAGTTATTGCATTTTAATTGGAATTTAATCAATACTATTAAAATGAACCGATGCACTGAGTTTAATTCACACTGATATTTAAGGAATTATTGAACTTTTTTTTGCGTTTTACACTTTCTGGGTCGAGGATATTTTTATGTTTAGATGTGGTAGTTGTTTACAATGAGCATTTCAAGGTTTACCTTATGAGAGGTTGGTCTCAGCAATGTATCTCCAAGATGCCAACTGATGGAAGGTGCGGGGACACAGCCGATTACAACACAGTCGACTAGACGTGGAATTCCAGCCTCGAAGCCGTAATTCTCATCTAAACGTATTTGAACGCTGAGTGGAGCAACTGAAAAACAATTAGTACATGATAAGTATTTTTATAAAGCTTTGCTCTGCACTAGGATTTTATATTGCGTCGTGGTTGCGTTGAAATACACATAATTTCAAGCCAAGGATACACCAGAGGACAATAGTCCCAGGTCATGTATTGGCGACACGTCAAGTGAAGCCGGCCGATTCCGCCTGACATTAGCGACAGAGCGTGAGGAGGTGACCAGTGTCGCGTAATATTACCAGAGATGTCGAAAGAAGTCCGGCAACATCCTGCTACCTCACTCAACGTGTCTGGCGACTGGTGTAATAAGATGTTGCCAGAATAATTGTTCCGAGATGTAAGCAAACACTGCTAATACATTTATATATGTGACTTCATGTGAATGAGTAGTTTATTCTAGGTAGGAGTGCCCCATGGTCACAGTGTGGGATACACCATCGCATGCCGCCAGGCGAGTTGGTGGTCAAACTGTATGGGAGAGCCATGATTTGGTGCCTATGGATCGGCTCGACCGAAGCGACGGGTGCGCAGAAAACCAGTGTGACACAACGCTTACGTTATGTTTTGCCATAAGAGTTGAAGTTACCGGAGACTCAATTCTCTCCCTCCTCAATCTTTGCGATCTTCGAAAACCCTATTTTCAAATATTTAACCTTAAAATACCGGGACACCAGCCGGCCCGGCCGGTGATTCGTCTGCACGTTTGCCTACTTATACTACAACCATTCACCATCCCAATGTTACTTAAAATTGATAAGTACTGTTACTATGCGATACTTACGATACATTTTTATAACAATGCTTTTAATCAAAGGCTCTGATACGTCGGAGTTTTGGGCCAAGCATTCGTAATGTGAATCCGCATTAGACCGCGTCAGGTTGTACAGGTGTATGTCTGCTTGCACTACGTCAGTCCTGGTCAGGTGTGTCCTCTCCATCATCACCCCATTGCGTCGCCAATAGACTTCGATCTCAGGATCTTCTGCAAAGTTAGTATTATGTCAAAAATCTTCAATGACGTATATACTTATACATGTTAGTTTTTGTTTAATATTGTGGTTTGGGATTCTATATTGTGCATATTTTTATTACAACTTCTTCTAGTTCTAAAGAAAATTAGGGAAATCGTTTTAGTACTCCCTTCCTGACAAACAGCTATTAATTATCATGCCTAATACTTTCGATTGTGTGTTGTCTTGTAGTAAACTACTCGAAATGAAACCAAAGATATTATTTACTTTATTATCAAGCAAAATTAATTTAATTTTATATTAATTTAGTAGAAAAATATTATACATACTATTTTTTACGCGACAGGATAGAGTTAAGTCGGAGCCAACACTTAGTGGACCCACAGTTACACCTTTGACTTCTTCGTTGCCGTTGTATACCGTTGGTACACCAGGAGAATCTATGAAATTAAATACAAAATTATTAAGTTATTTACATTTACAACCCATGTCAGTTCACTAGTCTGTCGGCTTCCTCTACCTAGAGTGCACTTTGATCTTCACGCGATCGAGATATATAACCATGCGGAAGTAGCTTGTGAATAATATAATATACACAAAAGGTAATTCTTAATACACAGTAACTTAAGAAATCATCATTGAGTAAAACTAAACCAGCTGATTGTGAATAACTATAAGGTGTGCTAACCAATAACCCGGAGTTCGATCAGATGATCAACTGACGGGGACGTTTGATAGTGAACCCGGCAGCGATAGAGTCCTCCGTCGTGATTTGTCACTCTCTTCACTACCAGCGCAGTCTGGTCGCGACAGGATCCAGGGTTACAAGAGGCCTCCACGATCCGGTCTGGGTTCATGAGACTAAAATTAAAGAAGTAAAATGGTTAATATTAGCAAGAATTAATATTACGCTTTAATAATTGTAAATTGTGACGTAAGATGTAGTTGGTGAGTTGCGAACTCGTGAAAGCTTGATGGTGAAGTGTGCAATTCGACCATGAGGTCGACACCGAGTAGGACACAAGGGTGTAATTATTGAAATAATCATTGTAATCTAGCTATATCATTTAAGGCAAGTCAAGAAATTGGCTTCTATTCTTGACGAAGAAGCAAAACAAAAAAGAATCATAACGAAAAATACTACACTACAGATTTATCGGATAATTAAGCTTACTTATGTTCGTACTCCTCATTAGGAAACCGGTATAGGAAATCACGATCATCCTTCAACCATAGAACGTAAGAGTTCGGTCCATCCAGGAATACTGTTCCCTGTCCACACGGGAGCCGCGCCTCTCGACCCCGAATTGCCCGAAGAACCACGATGTCTAAAAGCAAAAACTCCGTTAAATAAAAAAAAACGTTTATCGAATGTAGTGGTGATGATCGCACCTGCATGCTTGCTTGAAGGTGCGGATAGACAACCTAGTTAAGACGATTATCGTGCTGCATCTTACCTAATCGTATAGCATTGCGTGTCAGGGCGCATATTTTAACGTTGTATGCTAACGAGCGAGTATTATGCTTAAGGGCTCGTACACAAAACTGCGATGTGAATTCGCAACACAAAAAATTATGATGCGAATTGCTGTGATGTGATATCGTGCGACAAGGCGTCTCCCAAAGTGACCATTCCTTCGACGGCTGCCATCCGTACTAAACGTATTTTAAATTGAAAATTAGATCGTGACATGGATCGTAGAAGTTTACACTTTTGTTATTGCTAAGGAGATGCAGGAAACAGAAACAAAGAAGATTTTGGGAAGATACGATTTTGCAATTCGCAAATATTTGCGATGCGTGAGTTTTGTGTACCTGATAAAACTTAAAAATAATTTTTAGTGGAAGATTCACGTTTTTAGCAAAAAAAACAATGCGATATCCTCATGAATTGAGGTACACCTTGCGTTGTAACGAAAACAATCAAGAATTGAAACTTAACTTTAGCAGTTAACTTTATTCATGAAGATGAATATATATTCATCTCTACTATCGATCTATACCGACGTTACGCGACTACCAAGTGTACTCCCCAACGTTCTCTGTAAATTTTAGAGTTTCTTTATAGTCCGGACTATCAAAACACAATAAAATACCTAAGCCAGGTTAGATGCCTGGCTTAGGCCCTCAAATAAGTATATTAATCAAATGAAAATAAACAAAATCGATACAGATAAATTTCACTACAACTATAAATAGGCAGAAACTTTAATTACAAAACGTTATAAACAAAATGTCAAAAATCCCTATTGATACCATGTTGTAAGATTGTCCAGTCACTTTTTTATTACGACTCGTAAGTATCGCGTTTTAATAAATTAGATAATTCACATGAATTACGAACACTTGCATGCACTTCTAAATAAAACTAGGCAATGTTTCATTCATTCTTAGTACCTACACTTACAAAGAATAATAGAGTATTCGTTGAACAAAAATACTTAGGTTGATTCCATTTGATTCAGAGGGTTTCAAAGAATTTATTTTGTCTGACTCATAGCTCTCTAGATGGCGTTGGGGTCGAATTGAATCGCGCTATGGTTTCGTTACACGCGCTGAAGTATACCCCCAAGCCGATGCGGGACTTGTACATGTAGATTTCCTCATTTTATACAAACTGTTTGTATAGATTATCGTAGAATTTTTGTATACGAGGGGTTCTCGCACCAAGTGCGGCTCTCCTTGTAAGAAATCACTGAAAATAATTCTGTTTAATTGACCAACTATGCCTTTACTGTGACAATAACAATGCAAGTATTTGTTTTTCTACCATCATATTCAATTTTGTTTAATTAATGATGAGTTTAATACTTTGTTAAAAAAAAATATTTCAATTCTTCGTTTATGTTATTTAATACCTTCTTTAAATTTTTTGCCGTATATTTTTACAGGTTTTTTATGAAACTAGCTGTCACCCATAGCTTTGCTTGCGTGGATGTTGATTATCGTCTACCCCTATTACGAAATATCATCCCTTACTTAGGAACACGTATTTATTTGTTTTAAATTCCCGTACACTTACTTATATGGCCATAATATATTGTATATAAATAGGGCTCGAAACACCTTTGTAAATTGTTCAAAATTCCTGTAGCACGTATATTTGTTTTACGTCAATAAGCGAAACACAAACTTTGTTTATTTTACTTTAAATTCATGCTAATTTTGTCAAAGTTACTATGACTTATTTTTATATATTTTGACTGGATTAATAGGAAATAGAGAATTAGGAAAATGAAGTTTATTCATTTTACACTTGGAAATTGAACAGGTATACAATTTACGTGAAAAGAAAGAGACATACAACAATAAGCCAATTGCCGGTTGCCACGACTAGCAACAGTAAATAGAAACATCCAACACATCTATACAATGCCAATATTACAAATGATAATTAAACTATAAGTTAGGAAATATTGTTATCCAGGTCTTGCAAAAATTCAGCGAAAGCATATTCTCAGGCATAAAATAAAATAATAATACTTTTCCGTTCTAGGCAAGGTATGCCGCGTCCTGATTCTATTCACTTTAATCTAAGCCCGACTTAGTGAGAAGTTTATTAGTTCGGGATCAGTACGACTTCAGTTACATTTAACTGCCAACGTTCCAGGAACTTTGTTATTAAGTTTTAGCGTTCAATGACCGATCAACATTGCTATGGTTTAAAAAAATATAATATGTTTTTAAAGTACAAAGTCCGATCGACATTTGTATGGTTAAAAACAAAAATATAATATAATAAGCTCGCAGGGCACCTTGAGGCGACGTGACGGGCATTAGCGACCCCGCGGGCTACTATCATCCCTTGTGGTCCAGGGAGAAGTGAAAGTAACCATTGCTTATTCTCCGGCTTACTTTAATTGACTAGCTGGAGTAACGATGACAATGAACAGATCTCCCACCTCTGGCTTGCCTTCACTGGCCGTTCAGAGAGTAGTCGCAAAAGCCGTGATCCTGCTCGAACGGTAAAAAACTATATAACTATATTACAGTCTAGAAACAAAGCACAGATAGATATTTTATAATCAATAATAGTATTAATGGCTTTTACTAATGTTTAAATTGCTGGTATATTATGTTTATCAAGGAATTTTAGAACACGGCTATACAGAACTTTTTCAAATACTTTGGAAAGCACTGGAGTTCGTGCTATCGGTTATAGACTCAAAATTTGACGTAGTTATTTGGCTTGGAGGCAGCAAAGCCCTACCTTCTCACAGCCTAGCCGTCGCGAAGGACACTCCGGGGGTCGGGGATTGCGGGACAATCTCTGGACACCGTAAGCACGAGCCTGCGAACGGCGAGCATGGGTAACTCACCGCCCGACCAGAACCGGACCCGAGCGTACGGGGCGTCGCGTTCCGCGCGCGCCTCAAAGAGCCATCAGTGGATGGGACCCAATAGGGCTGATGCCGGGGTAATCTAATAATGGGTAACGGGCTCCGGCTCGAAGTGCAGGAGTAGGGACGGGGTGGTTTTTAGTCAGAGCGGCCAGGCGGGAGAAGGCATTCGATGATTTTCCCCCTTAAAAAAATTGTTATTACTTATGTTATGCATATAATTTCCACTACCATTAAAAATTGAACAGTTTTCAATTGAACAAAATTGAACAGTCACTTATTCTTTGCAATATTAATAAAAAATTATAAATCTATTTGCAATACCGGATCCTGAAGGTGAATGTTATTGAATTGTCAACGATTTTATCAACATATTCTCCAACTGGCTCGTTTCCCATATTGAGTCTTACTACATCCCACGTGGATTTAATTTTGTTTTGTGAGTATCTGATATGCTGCTTTATGCAGGTTGCTTATTGACTGTAGGCTTTTCAAGCGCTAATTCTAAAATTTTCAATATCAATACATAGTATAAAACAAAGTCGCTTTCGCTGTATGTCCGTATGTATGCTTAGATCTTTAAAACTACGCAACGGATTTTGATGCGGTTTTTTTTAATAGATAGAGTGATTCTTAAGGAAGGTTTGTATGTATAATACATGCATATTGCACCCGTGCGAAGCCGGGGCGGGTTGCTAGTGTTTTATATTTCGTTTTATTTACGTTATTTCTAACCAAGTAATACTTATGCCTTAGAGGTCATTTAGTACTACAGCAATTTTTAATTCATTTTGTTGTCTATTTATGTTTACAATTAATATTTTTTTATTTCTGTGCTTGAGAACAGGTTACAGAAGAGGTTAAATAGTTCTTGGAACTCATCGAATGCTTCATTGCTATTCCCTAAATCATAAATTTCACTAAAACTTAGCTCAAGGTGCGTGCTGCTTAGCATTAACGCGTAATGTAACATTATAGATTCGACTTTGAGCATTACATTTCAATAATACCTCCCTGACTAACGAGTATTTGCGTGTAATGTAACATATAGATTTGACTTAGAGCATTACATTACAAGGTGCGCATTGTCATGCTCGGTTCTCCTCCTTCACTAATGTAATGCTCAGATCTGTAACTTTATATTACACACAAATGATCCCGGTGAGAGAGAACCTTTTTATATATATTTTAAATCTTTTGTTTTAATACTCTTTGTATAATAAAAATTTGAGCCGTATTACGAACGATTAGATGTCGTGGTGGCCCGGAGGTTGAAGACCCCCCGCTTCTCATGCTTGAGTGCTTGAACCTTCTCCGTGTGAGAAGAGGCAGTGGGCACTTATAGGCTGTTGATGATGATGATGATGATTACGATCAGATAGGTAACAGTCAAATGTTCCACCGTCGTTTCACCAGTTGCATTTGTAAAATGTTATAAGGCTTGCCAAGTATATGGACAACATCATGTGTTAATAGATCTATGCTAAAATTTACACAAATTACTACTTTACCTATGTATTTGTGTACGAGCCTTTAAAGAGTTTTATTTAAATGTTTAAAAAAATGTCTACGTTCTATAAATACATATTATGATTATCTTTACCTGTTTCATTTCTATACCACACATTTCAAATCATATTCCACGAACCTAAATTGATTTATTGAATTGTAAATTCTCACAATTGTTCCATACCAGTAGCTTTAATTGCGTAACTGTAATGAAATGTGGCCTGCGTGCTATTCCAAGCTATAATCTATAAACTGTGCAGCTTTGAGCCTATATTTATCCCGATTATCCAGCCGTAGGAAATGTAGAGGTACAACAATGAGTAAATCCATCTGTGGTAGTTTCCTCTATTTTTAGTTCAACAACAATGAGATGTACCAACTTAAAGAAGTACTCTCTTAGTGGGTATTTAATCTAGAGCTGAGAATGACCAAGTAGGCTACCGGGGCGTCGGTTTGAAAAAGGAATAAGAACGGGGTGGTTTTTAGGCAGTAAGAGTCTAACGCTCCGTCAAGGCAGGAGAAGATACTTTATGATTTTCTTCCTTCAAAAAAAGTATGTTGGTATTTAATATATTTCCAAGTAGGTACCGGACGCAATGAAGCGCTGCCTCGTCACAACCCAGCCGTCTTGAAGGACACTCGGGGCGTTGGAGATCGCCGGACGATCTCCGGCCACTGTAAGCGCGGGCTTGCGGATATCTCGCCGCCCGACCAGAACCAGACCCGAGCGACTGGCGCGTGTCTTAAAGAGCTATCAGACCACTACGGATATACCACCCAATAGGAGTGATGCCGATACGGAGCCATGGAGAACGTAAAAGGTTACTTGGGCTCCGGCTCGTAGTGCAGATGTAGGCACGGAGTGGTTTTTAGTAAGAAGTGTCTGACAGTCCCCCCGCCTTGCCCAGGCGGGAGAAGCTATAAGATGATTTTCCCCCCTAAAAAAGTTTCGGACGCATACCTTTTTGAAGCCTAATTTATATATATCATTGTTTTCCTGCGGGGTTCCGCTACCTACTACAACCGATAAGTTAAGTACAAAGTGTTTCTGGTATTATAAAAACACGTACCTGTCTCCTGGCCATTGATTAGCCATGCCAAACAAGCCACGATTAGGGTACACATCAGCGTCTGAAACAAAGGTAAACGTCATTAATTAGGTGCATGAAACCACCATAAAACATATGTTAACTATATCTATTACAAAGAGTAAGTTCACCTGTTCGTGTAATAATTCGTGTCCCTTTAATAATTCCCAAAAATAAGAAAACTGTATATTTAGTACACATTTGTTGGACCTTTCCACGTTTTAAATATCTTACATTGATGGCGATTTGTAAATTGGACTGGTGGGTGGACATGAACAAGCGGACTTACCCTATTTGGCAGCTGTTCTTACCCTATTCGTGGACTATATTGCGCCTCTTTACCTCCAAAGGACTCGGCAGAGGGCACAGGTTACATGTATTGTGCATAATAAAAAAAAATATCCATAGAAAAGCGCAAGCGCAAAACACGAAACATAAGATGTAGGTCACAAATCTTAAAGTTTTTATTGAATTTCGCGATAAGCAAGTAAAAGCTTAGAACTTGATTACTCAATTCAATTTGGAAAATATTTTAATTGTACGTATAAATTCATACTGAACACCAACAGTCCTTTAATCACGAGTGTGTATGACTCACACAAATAAACAAAAATTAAACAAAACGCATAGCCCTATCTGCATACCACCACCAAAATAAATCGACCTCTCGTCACTAGAGACTCCCCCAACTTTCTAATCCAATGGCTCAGCTAAGTAAGGGGTCGAGAGGTCAAGTTACTTTGGGGTGTAGTTTCAGTCGCACACGCAACGCGCAGGGGTGACTCACGAGTCAGGGCGCATTGTGTCGTAAAACGATCGTAATAAACTAAAGAACTCCGATTTGTAAGATTTTTTAATGAACATGTGGTAGTAGAGTCAGAAGTAAAAGAATTAAGGAAAGAGATTTTATTCTATTAATACTAAACACCAAAAGTGGATTGTCTTTAATAGAACAAAAAATAACTTGAATATATGTATAATAATAATAATTGATAAGTGTTCCAAAATAAAAATCCAAAAGGACAGGTGTTTGGTAAAAAAGTACTTACACACAGTACTAAAATCAATATATATAGATAATGTAAAAGTTATTCTTATAAAGACTTTGAAATATTTATGTCTGATAAGAGGTCGAGAATCTACAAAGCATAGACTAATGTAATTGGGTTGTTAACAGACTATTGCCGGAATACTGAAACGTTACTCAATTTTAAGTCGTGCTTAAATATCGTGCCATCTCTGTCATTTTACAAAGAATTTGTAGAGACAGAACTATACTTAAGCACGACTTAAAATTGAGTAGCGTTTGAGTATTCCGACATATGAATATTAAAAATCTAATTAGTCCAACCAGTTAGATAATGAAAAATATTAGACACGCCATTTGTAATTTTGTCATGCAAGAAAACAATACTTAGGATAAAACGTATTTAAGTTTAGGAAGGAGGTCACTACGTCACATGTTCCTATAAAGCGTCACACGATATTTGAAATCAATATATCGCCGAAAGTGTTTAATTATGTAAGAAAAGAAGAAATACGTGTCTAACGTTGTAACATAATCTACCAAACAAACATTAGAAAAATTAGGAAACCCCTATGAGTTACCACAGGTCATGATTCATGGTACAACGTAACCCAATTGTAGGAATACTTTGAACAGCTCTCAGCACTCATTAAAAAAACATCGCTTAATTGATCATACGATGCACTATCCATTACGTGGAATTTCATTTTTATTCTTAAAAAGTCAACATAACAAAAATGTCGGGCATATATTTTAATAAATATCGTTAACCTTCACTAGAAGTCCTTTTACCAGATAAAAGCTCGTTCGTATATTTCCATCGTGAATTCAATAGTGCTCTCATATTATATATTTTGTAATGAATACAAATATTTCTAGAAATTCCTAGAATCGTTAAACTGACACACATTTTCCTTCTGTACGTGACCCCGTTTTACTTTTCATCGACATTTTTACTAATTATAACAAGAACAGGAAAGTATAAAAGTAAATGAGTACAAATTGGTGTTCATAAATTGATACTGTATGCTTTTTAAGGCAAGGTTTAATATTGGAAAATATTTTTTCACAGTAATCCTACAGAGATAAATTAGGTATGAAGGCTGAAGCACCAACATAATATTGCAACGATATTCGAACTTTATTTTAACTACAAATTGACTACAATTCTGTACTTTTTTTTTAAATATATAAAGCTGAAGAATTTGTATGTTTGTTTGTTTGAACATGCTAATCTCCTAAACTACTGGCCTGAATGCAATAATTATGTGTATGTTGGAAAGTCCATTTACCGAGGTAGACATGCTACAATCAATAGGAGCCAACCGTTTTTGGGGATAATAATCATCCAATGACTTCTCCCACTTGAGTAGGGTAAGAGGGAGAGAGAGTATCAATGACAGATTCAGATGCACAATCAATATTCGATTCCTTATCATTATCATTTATCATCAAGTCAGCCACATGACGTTTATATGCACTATTTTCCGATTTATATGTACTTACTTTCTAAGATTATTTAGACACTGGTGGTATACGGTAAAGGAAAACATCGTGAGGACAACTGGGCTTTACGCTTTGAATCATCATTCCGCCTTGAGTAGGCGTGGTGATTAATTTCCCCACGTTCTCTGTATGAGAAGAGACCTTTGGTCAGCAGTGGGCAGATGTAGGCGGGTAATGTGATGTAAAATGGTTCTGAGAACTTAGATTATAGATAATCTGAATATTAATTATTAATATATAGTAATATTAATGAATATTGCCTCCGTATTCACATGAAATTACAAATTACATTGAATATCTATTGATTCTCATGAAACATAATAATTTTCGTGATGAATAAGGTTCATGTATCAAAATTCATGTTCAATTTATTTGATACTATAATCAGTTTTTGTCAATAGGCAATACAATACAATGCATGTTTGTTGGAAACCTTTAATTGTATCCCAGTATTCGATGCACACATTGTTGTACCTAACTCTATGTATTTAATAACTATTTTCAGAATTAATAATCGACTTTTCAATTGTGATCGGTTTCACGTTTTCAAAACTTTTATAAGCTCGCGCAATACTAGTCATATTTTTATTTATAAAATACAATTTTTTGGTAGTAAATTCAACTTTGACATGCTGAGAATAAGGTCCATCATTCAATTTAATTGAGATCCCTCTTGGTGAAGTCGAAACATATTACTGTTAACATCTGCAAACAGAAGCATTTGAGCTTAATACTAACTGACAAGAAAACAGAAATTCTCAAATTCGACATCATCAGTTGATTTGGAAAAGCAGGGTATCCTAGGAGTAGTCTAGATCTCTGTAGTCCCTACATCCCGAAATAGGTTCCCCAGAGGAAGTAAGACAGGAGGTTAAGTGTAATTGACAATCACAAAATATATTTAACTAGGATCGGCTTCTGCAAGCATCAAACTTCAGTTACGTATTTCCGATAGTTCTGAATTTCCGATAGCAAGGCATAGAGTCCACTAAAAATAGAATATCAATATAGATAGCAAAAAGTGTTGCCTCTATAAATATTTTAATAGATTGACTAAACCGCCTACGACGAGAGTATTGGGTTGCTTGTTGCAAGTTCAATTTTAGATATTGGTAATTGAGTAATTGACTTTACGAATTAAATTTAGATTGCACGGTTGCAGTTTTCGATAGCCCTGATGATGTATCAGTACTGATCCTTTTTTTCAGTAGTGTGAGTGCGTTTATAAAACATACAAATTTACAAACACATCCCACGCAGAACAACTATTTGTGGAACACACGAAAAGTTGTTCCGTGTGACAATTGAACCCGCATCACTTTGCGCAGCAGCCAGTTGCCCAACAACTGCACCAATCACATAAATATACTACGTTTGAAACAGTCGCCAAAGCTTGCTATTAATAGGAAACTCAAAATATAATTAATAATAAATAAAATATAATGTCCAATGTGTAGTTACTTGTAATTCATTAAACTTAATAAATAGTTTTATGAAAACTTCCGAGTATGTATAATTTAATTAAGTTTACGGCTGATTGAGTAAATACTTAACACACATAATAATTTTATTAAATTTCGAAGGTATTATAGATATGTTTGAAGTGAATTTATGGAGGCTATTGTACAACTGAAGTATAATTTGGCTGTTGATTAATTTAAATTCATAGTTTAGTTTATTTCATTAATTTGGTAATTATGTCTATTAGGTGCAGTAATATAAATAAATAATTAAGATTATCGTGTGTGAGGTAACTATGTTAAGTTATAAACAGAATTTACTTTAAAATTTTGTACGTTTGTACAGACACAATGTGGCGAACTGCCATAATATTACCAACATCTATTGTAGCATATCTACATTGACAAAATAAATAATATTTGTATTTGTAGAAATAATGCTTATTTCACAAGAAACTACTGTCGCAATGAATTTTAATTATGACCTTATTAAAATATCATTGTTTACATAATAGTTAAAAACAATCCATTCATAAAACATCAACTTAATACAAGTTAACAAACAAATGTCATCGGAAAAACTAACTTTGAAAGTGCAGCACTTCTTCATATTAATAAGATATTTAAAAATCGCTATATAAACATAATATATTAAGTGAACTCACCAAAGACTTCATATCGGCTACTTTTCAATGAATAAACAAATTTTAAATTAATTTCGAAGTGCACACGTCTGGTCGCGGCGGAAACTTTCGACGGAATAAAGTTTGCAGCCCACCTCGTCGACGGAAGGCCAGGTAATGCAGGCGGGGGGGCGAGCAGAGGGTGGGACAACCCTACACCTCACGTCGAGCCCTGCATTTTTATCGATAATGGTTTAGTATGAGATATTTTTTAATACTCTAGCTACATGTAAATATATGTTAGACTATTCTTCCTCTATAAATATATGCTCTACGATACTTTACTTTTACTTCGGTGTACTTTTAGTAATCATCCAACTATTAAATTGTATTATTTTTAATACGATTTCGGAAGTTACGGGTAAAGTTTTGAGCATGAGCATGTTTTATGGGTTATGTCGACCAACGAGCAGACAGATCACCTGATTGGGCGCTATGGTCGTTGCCTGGTGGTAAGCAATCAGCGCCAGGTATAATTAGTACATTGCTGGCCGTTGAGGAGGTACCTCCTCCTCATAGCTAAATGGGGGAGGGGAATTAAGCCTCCTGTAAACCAACTCACACAAACAAGTGGCTTTAACAAAATGTTTTACACAATGTAACGGAAAATGTCCTACACTTATACCACTAAAGTTTATACTTTGCAAGAGAAGGAGAAATGCATTGAATTGAAAAATCTTAATTTTCTAGTTGAACTACGCATCCACACTAAACCATTTCACGCATTCAAGGGTAGGTTCTTCATTCAAACAGTAAAATATCAGGCTTTATTACAGTAGGTGTACGATTATAGTATTTATTAAAGAGCTAACAAAACTACATTTTCTTTAAATTATTTTATAGCGTCTATCGTTTTTCGAAATATAAACACGAATTATGTAACCACCAGCGTTAGATGGTCTTTGATTACGTTCAACTCTACTACGTTTGGGGATCAGGGTAAACGAGAAAGTGAAACTGGTTCCCCCAACCATATCGCAAGTTCATTAAAACCCTTTTAATGAAATGTGCATACGTGCAATTACAATTTGGAAGACTCGTAGGAGGTGAGTGTTCTAAGTGGATTACATACTGGGGAGCGAGGTACAAAGAAATACGCATAGTTTTTTTTAACACGAAACGCAGCTTTATGATGGAGTGTTGATTGTTTGGGTGCCTTTATACTCTCCTACGATTTTTTGCTGAGCGTAGGTGAACGTTAGTAAACGCACGGGTGATAACAAGCGCTGACGCTATATAACGCTTTAGCCTTTGAATTTGCAGAAAATAGAATTTAAATTATTCTTATTCCCATATCAATATATTGTAGCAAAGCAGTGCCTAGATTTTTTCCCTTACTTTGCTTCTCGATGTGAATTCCGTATCAAGTAAGCAACGAAACTAGTTTCAATTGATTTTTACTTATTTTAGTCAGCTTTGAATCAAATGTATACTAGACCTACTATACTACACTAAATCAATATTGGGAGAAATAATTGGGGCTGTATTGCAGCCCTTGTTAGTAAGTTAAGATCATTATGGTTCCCATGTTCTGTGAAGCCAAGGCCATCAATAACCTTTGTGCCACAGGGTTCCTGGAAGTGCAGATCCAATTATATCGGAGCAAACACGTATCAATTACCTATATATAGGTCCTTTGAATAATAATGTTCAGGTATTTGTTTGATCTTGCATACCTTGTTGGAGAGTATTGCGACTTTGCAAGTACTCTCAGGGTCGACTCCCGGGATGGGTTAATTATTCTTGGTATAAATCATCGCTCGATTTAAAAAAAAAAATATGGAATACAGAATCTGGAATTGTGCATGGAGGCACCCCATGAGACTCGTAACAGAAAGAAGTATGTGTATGTACATGCATATTGGACATGTGGACCTCGGCATTATCCTTCGAAAATTAAAAGCCGAATTCTGTATGTATGTTATGTAGATCGAACTTAGGTATCAAATAAGTAGCGGAGACACGTGTCAGAGTTATCTTATCAATAATAATGGCGTTCGTTAGTCTCGCTAGAACTCAAGAACAGCTGAACCGATTTGACTAATTTTGGTCTTGAAATGCTCGTGAAAGTCTAGGGAAGGTTTAAAGGTAAGAAACAAATTTTTAGGCGGTACGAACTTTGCCGGGTCAACTAGTGCTTAATAAAATAGCTTCTAAGACCCCATCGATTTCTACCATGGTGGGATGTGTTTGTAACTACCACGGAAGAGATGTATTATAGTATAGGTGTACCCTCCGTTCCTTGGATCTTATAATCCAGTAGAACGACAGACCGACACGACCGGAGAGAAGTCCGGTGGCTGAATCAACCGCCGTACGTGCTTCCCAAAGTACAGAGGAAGAAATACCGCCGAATTTCCTAATTCCGGGGTGATAATGGTCATTTTAACCGACCTAAAAAAGGAGGTTCTGTGTTGGCCTGTATGTATATTTGCCCGCGATTATCTCGCCATTGGCTGAACCAAGTTTTATTAAATTTTCAAAAACGTTTTTGGTTGCAACAGGTTTTAGTATATTACCCGGCTTTATTATTGAATTACTCCAAAATCGAAGAAATTTAAAATCGGTTTTTATATACCTATTTAGTTCATTTTTGTTTGTTTATAGTTATAAAAATTGGTAATGTCTTTCTAACACGCTTTTATCAGGACATAACGAACGAACCACGTAATAACATCTAAAATCATTTGAACTCTTCTAAGTACTTCTAAGTAACGCTGCATGCGCGGAAGCGGCTTCACGCTTCCGCAGTAGAGGCCCTCAAACGGCGTAAATTTATTTATTTTTATTTATTTATTTGTTCATGTACACACAGACAATACACAGAAAAAATATATATAATAACAAAGGTACATAGGTACTGCATATCCCTTATGGGATTTCTTCCTGCAGCCCTGCGAAAGGAGAAATAAATGCGACATATGACACAGAGTGTAACAACAAAAAAAAACAAACAAGAAGAAGACAATGAAAACTTAAAATGATAATTAAAATTAGATTAACAAAAATGATACAATAATACATTAAAATAAAATATTCAAATCCAGTGGGTAACTACTGTTTTGAGCCGTTTGAGGTCGAAACACTTGGGCCATGGGGTCCCAGTGCACACTCTGTTTTTAAAGATATCGCCCGTAGGCTAATCGACTCTATAAGTGACCAGAGGACTAGCTATTTGTTCGGACAGAAAATAAGCACTGCCATTCCACGTGGCAATGCTGCCAGTCTTCTGGGAATGTTCCCCTGTGATAGTGATGCGGACGAATACTATGACGCCTAAATTGAGGGTATAATTTTTGTTGATTCCCCTTTTTTTACTTTCGTTTTATTTAGTAGTTTAATTGTAGTTAATTTTAAATAGTAAATATTTGAACTCTATATTTAGCAATTATAATCATTGATTGTAAACGTACATATTTTATGACGCAATATTATCCACTTCTATTATATTATTATACCTCTAAAGCTTTCTGTGGCCAATCCTTTTCATAGGCGTCATGTTCATCCCACCATCTCCTTCTAAAGGAGAGTAAGCAGACCTTTGCTCTGAAGTGAGACGACCATGGCTTAATAAAAAAAATATAACATTATATATTATTATCGCACCATGGGCTTTTTGTGTGTACCTGTATCCTTATTATGTGTCGTGGCGTAATAAGTGTTTTTCTTTTTGTCTTATAAATATCGTAGGGAATAAAGTGTTATTAATTAATTAAAAATTAATGAGTAGTTTAACTACAACTAAATCATTTCCATTTTACCTACATCCTGACGTAAAGGAAAAACAAACGTATAAAAATATGAATAGCCTTTTAAGAATTATTTATTTATTTATTTATTTAAAATGCTTCATGCACAAAATGTACAAAAAGGTGGACTTAATGCCGCAGGCATTTTCTACCAGTCTGACCTTTGGGTGATGCAGAGAAGAGTACATGGTAGGTGCAAGAGGCAAGCAGTGTTTTTATTTAACAATGAAAGATAAACTAATATATTACATAGATATACATACATAAATAAATTTAATTATAATGTATACCTACACATGAGTACAATATGCCTACATACATACATATATACATAATATACATATATACATAATTATGATACAAGTCTGCTTGTTACCTTTACCCATTCAATCAGTTTGCATTGTCAACACATCTAATCAAAAGTATCAAACGACGCAATTACATAATTACATCAAAAAAACATCAATAGGACAGATATATTAGGTCAGTACATGTCAATGTAAAACCGATTTAGTTACTTCAGTATTAAGGTACGAAGTTTAAAATGATTTGTGTTGATAGGGGTGCATTAAACGAGGTGAGCGAGTGAGTCATCAAAATGAATCACGAATAAGTCGATCGAAATTTTTGTTCGTAGAACTTATTATACTGTTTTTTCATATTATTTTAGTCATTAATGCGTTAGTTATTATTGTTATGATTGTATTAACTTTACTTATTGTCCATTATTATACCTGAATTTTCCACGATGTCATATAATAACTATGCATAGTATACATAGTGCAATGCAACAGAGACAGTATTAATAATTTGCCTCGTATTTAAAAAATACACTTAATAGATATATTTTGTTTGTTATCAATACTTATCAAATATTAATATATTATTTATTATTGTACTTTCCTAAAAGGTTAATAAAAGAGTTCACAGTTAATATGCATGGGGTTGTTGACCCGTTGTATTAACCAAAACGGTTACTCCGGTTATTATTTCCGAGAGATTTGTGAGCACCTTTTTAATTCAATGTTATCCTGCGTATATGTATTTTCTATGGAATAGAAGGCAAACAAGCTGACGGATCACTTAATGGTAAGCGATCAGCGCCGCCCAGTACACCCGCAACACTAGAGGAGCCACAAGTGCGTTGCCGGCCTTTTAAATATGAATACGCTCTTTTCTTGAAGCTTTCAAAGTTATATTGGTATATATAATACAATTTAGATACAACGTGGTGCTTCGTTCTTCAAACGGTACTGGGAATGCCGAATTACATATTTCCCCAACTTAATCATCACGTCGTGGAAAATCACCCCATCCAAGGACATTGAAAAAAGGCGCACATAATGTCACTTAGAAATAATTGAAGCACCAAAATGTCAGTGGTCTTGTCAGTGGTGTGCGTGTGTGACCACGTTACGAGACTTAAGAAAATATCAGATGTCCTTCGTATCAATGTGTTTATGTTCATTGTGTCGCTCTATAGTAGCCATGTGCCACTGTCGTTTTTTCAAAACATCCTTGAACCCATCTGGTTAAACGCCTCAGTTTGAAAAGGTCCAGGTTTAGAAAACCGCGCTGCAGATCTGAGCATTCTGTCATATCATAGTCTGTCACGGCCAAAATTAACAACCGATCATATTCCAAAATCTTTGAATTGATGTCGATATAACTATGGCCGGAAATTCATACAGCTAAATAATGTAGGTAGGATGTAATAATAAAATCTAGCCTAATTCAAAATTATTTGATCTATGATATCAATTAAATTTTTGCGTTCTTTATTTTGTGTGATCTTGATGTAATCAAGGTGAACGCAATAAAATTTCAACGTTGCTGGGTGACCCATACTTACTTCTCGTTGTTGCTTACCATAATTTATACTCTTTGCCACCAAAAAGGATGTAACCACCAAATGTTATTTGTCATGTATTGACTTTTAAATGTTGTACATAAAACAATCATCTCATCTTATTTGTAAAAAATATTAAAACACAAAAATGCAATACTTCACATAGTAACTAAACAGTATATGTATTTAAAATTCGCCAATGTAATATAAACAAAATATACAGAGACTGGACATGAAAGGTAAGGGCTAACCATATTTTTGTACTTAACACACATAATTCAATAATCGAATTTTCTTAAGACTTCCGTATAATATTGGTTTATACTTTATATAGAAAGCTATGAATAATTTATCTTTCTCAATCCAACTCTTCAGCATTTTCTACTGTTAGAGTGTAGGTCTACTTCGGTTTTTGTCATCTCTCTCGGACTTGAGCAGTTCCCATCCAATTCATTCCAACTGTTCGTTTGAACAATGAATAATCTATTAATTCAATATACTTGAATAATACACTGTGATACATTTACTATAAAACAATCCTTGTTATGCGAGATTCAGATTTCAAACTATGAAAATTTACAAATAAAATACTTAAAACTATCGTCTTAAGAAATTGCATCGAAGTGTCAGAGTAGGAATTGGCCTCATATATAGATCACGACATATCATTTCATTTTACAGTAAAACCTTTATATCCAGACCCATATATTGATCACATTGACATTTCATTACCTTCTTAAATGCCCCTGAACAATTTTGGAGTTATTTATAAGTGCAAATACAAAAGAATTTAATTTTACAAGTTACAAGAGATGATCATACTTTAAATGGATTTGTTGCAGCAAAATTTGACAAAACATTCACACTCAGAATTTATAACGAAGAATATAATAAAGATGACTGAAGACTGTATATAACAATGCCATAACATGACTGAATACAACAAATCCAAAGCTGTGAATCTGATAACTTCAGTAGAAAAAGAAAGTCTTGTATCAAAAGAAAAAGCAATAACAGCAGCAATGGAACATCTACTTCCTTCTCATGGTAAAATACCTTCAGACGAGAAGTCTACAGAAAATATGTATACTGAGATGTACTTACCAGCTGAATCTACAAATAAATTGATATACAAATCTGCATATTACGCTGGACTATTACAAGTAGTTGAAGCAGAAGCACCAAAAAAGAAAGAACATATTTTAAAAGGGGTACACAAGTTACCCTTGCCACTACGGGAGGAGCGGACACACTACGTGAAAGCTTTCAGCACTGAAAATAATTTATGGACTGCTAGACCCCAGCTTTACGCAAGACATAAAGTATATTTTACTGTGTCTCATAGAGGTAGCAAATATAAAGAGGTAAAATCAGGAGTAGTTAAATTAACCCCAAAACAAAAAATAACAAATTCAAAAGCCACTGACTTAGTACTACATACAGGCAGAGTTCTGCAAGCCAATGTAAGAATGCCATCTGAAATAAAGTTACTAGATAAAGTCCACCCTGAGATTAATCTCTTATCTGAATCGGCAACCTCTGCTACAAGAGGTATACATACAAAATCTACAGAACCTTATGTGCCTGAAACACACATATCCGCTAAAAGAGCCTCGGAAAAATCAGTGATCTCAGTTAAAGTAAAAAGAAAAACTACATCAAGTATAACGTCTAAGAAATCAAAAAAAGCTAAAACAACTGAACTTGTAACACTCACCCAAACAAAAGAAAACCCACTAAAAGAATTAACTGATACTGGTCTACCCATTCCCAACGAAAGAATTTCTTCTGGCAAAACTTCAATAACAAAAAAGCTAAACAAAAATAAAGCTTACGGTATTTTAACACCTAAAGTAGGTAAACCACCGCAGAAAGAAAAAGCATTTCTCGGCCAATCAACTGCTGGTCTTCGGCTAACAATCGTAAATAAACCTCCGTCAGTAAAAGCTTCGATACAAAAGAGCAAAGAAGACATTCGGTATGTGCCTCTTTCGCCAATAGAACGATTGCAAAAAGATTATGCTGCTGGTATAATAACGCCATTGAGCGGGAAAACTCCATCAATGAAAGAAAAATATGTTGAAAACTTGTTAACTTCAGCATCATCAGCACCAGATTTACGGCTGCTACAAAAGCCAAAATCGACATGTTTGACAGAAAATACTGAAAAACTGTGCGAGGCACAAACGTCCGGTCATGTAACACAACTCGAGAAAAAAATTCCAACACAAAACATTCCTGGAAGTCTGGCTGGTACTAGACTGCCTCTACCGACAGGGAGAGTAGTTCCTCCTACTACAGAGAAAGTATTGATGGTAAAAATAAAGCCTCGAAAAGAATCTAAAGTGCCACTCAAGATTATCAAAGGAGTCGCTGGCTTACCTACTCCTATGGAAGGTCAAACGTCAGCTTTTAGTGAAAATATTCTAAGAGGTCAAGGCGAAGCTGAAATGCCCCTAACAAAAAGCAATGCATCATGTGACCATTCTCCAGTATACAAAATTAAAACTAAGTCAGTCACACCACATGCAAAAACATCATGTGTACAGACAGAGTCGGAAGAATTTTTAACGCCTTTTACTGGGAAACTTGAGAAAGATCTGGTGAAAAAAACTGTGGCTGAGACAGGTTTACCGCATAATAAGGCATATGCATATACATCAACTGAAAAAATGAGAAAACATAAAGTCAAGACAAAAAAGTTGGGTGTAATAAGTGCAAAAATGGCAAAAGCTTTTGAAAAACGAATAGGAACTGAAGAATTTCAAGTTACTGTCAAGACAACCTGCGAACGTGGCTGCGGTTGTGATAAAAAGAAAATTAAATTTAAAAATAGTTACATTAAAATTAAACCAGCAACTCCAGACATATCTTTCGGTGATTGTTCTAATAAGGATGTTAACACTGAAAGTTTAATAAAAAATGGAGGCATCCGGTTTACTATAGGGACAGCTGTTGGTGTTCCTTCGTATTCAAGAGACGCTTTAGTGAATAACATTTCACAAAAAGAATTACTTGATGAAATATATTACAAATATGGAAGTGTTACTACTAGTAAAACAGGTGACGAAATTTTAAAAAATAACTTAAAACGTGTCACGCAATTCTCAAATAAAGAGTTTAACATCCGTAACGATGAAACTCAAGTAACTAGTGATATGATAATCTGTTCGTTTAACACATCAAGTTCTGATGGAACACATTGTGTTTATACTCTAGCACATACATCTAGTGATAATGTAGGAAATGATATCGGTAATTCAAATAACCGGATGATTTCTTGTAAAGAAGAGGAAGAGGATCCTTGCGAATATCTTAAAAAAAATATTTTTAGATTGTCAAGTAACATTTACCAAGAACCGTTGTCTAATGAAACTTTCTCATCAAAAATTATGTCCCAGTACAATTCAGAGTCCTTAATTCTAACAAGTGGTAGTCCTACACTATCAACCTCTAATGGAACTATGGATACGTCAAGTTTCCTTTCGTTTACGAATAGTGAAAGCTCTTCAAGTCACTCTATTCATTATTTCGGTTCCCAGTTATCCGACGACCTTTTCAGTGATCCTAATACTGACTCAAATACTGACGGCTCAAGCGACTCTTTGAATAAAGGTCAGATACCAAAAGTAAGGTAAAACAAAGATTATTTGATTTATAAGCATTTGGTGGGTCAACCTTGTTACGAGTGAATGCCGTTTTCCATTTTACATTGTATTTTTCTGTCGTAATTTCCAGTTTTATTTTTATTTCGACCATAAGTCCTAACTATACAAATATAAACAAAAAAGAATTCGGTATGTTAAGTCTACTTGTGGTACTTTTTTTAAATTTTGTTTTATAGATAAAGTTATTTCGCACAACCAATTTCAATATTTTAATTTTCTATGCATTGATTTCTTTTTTATGATTTATTTAAGTTTTTGTCGTAAAATAGGCAAAGTAACTTGGTTCCTTGGATACATTTTTAAAGACAACGAATGTCAAATTAAGTCAGGTTGTCAACAAGCTCGGAACAACCTATCTATAGACTACAAAATTATCACGCTATCTAGGCTACGCTACGAGGACAAGCTGTGAATCAGGAAAACTATTCAAATTCACTATTTCACGTGGAGGAAGACGAGGGCACAGATTAATTATCTACATAGTATCTTCCAATCTACTATTAAACTACCTAATAAACTAAAATTATAAAAATATTTAACTGGGATAGAACGTCATATGATTTTTGATCTCTTCAAATAAAATTCCAACCAACCTCTACTAAATTTGAAGCACGCCTAAACTAAGATCACATTTAATATCATTTTAGTGACATTTAACGTCATTTTGTTTTTCACCAATCTTTATGAGTATTACCAAGTATAGACAATGGTTTAATTTAGGTGCTACGTAGCAGACGTCTGCCAAGTAACTTATATTTATGAAATCGAATAGAAGTGGTTAGTGAAAATGGCGATAGAACAGCTTATTTAGATTTCAAAAAAGTTATCATACCTATGTTTATTTATATTTTCAGTTTCAGTAACAGTCCCTCAAAAGAATCTATAATATGCAACGAGTACTTAGATGTCATACCAGCATATGCAAGGAGAAATCGATACGTATACCAGATTTTCAAAATGTCTGAGAATGAAGTAAATCCATTATTTGAAAATAAATGTACACACATGAAAAGGACTAGGAATGGAGAACCCATTGTAGTCATAAATCATTTGAATAGTGATCGTGACATAATGACGATAGTTGATGAACTGTTGGCAAAAAACCATTTCTCTGGAGTCTCCTCCATATTTGTTCTTGTACCTTCGGAAGACAACGATGGTTCTTCAGATTGTCTTAAGTCTACTATTTACAAACCAGTAATTGGAAATCAAACTCGGGGAGGTGGTAATATTGACTCCTCGATAGATACCGGTGAGTTTTATTTCTACTAAATATACTTAGGTGAAGAGTATAACTTTTGAATCTACACTTTTAGCTTCTTTTAGCAACTTAGTCACATAACTATTTGACGAGGAACTCGACTAACTAGTCGAGTCATTGAAATGATGAAATGAATGAAGTGAACTATGGTTTCAAACTACACGCCAAAAGAAGATAAGGTCTCCGTACTAACGTGACCGAAATTCTTCTCGCCGCGGAACGTATGTATTTGAGGTCGAGTGCGAATACCAACAAGGATGGTGGTTGCGCAATACTACCCAACTGGAAGCCGAGTCTGAAATCTACGTCAGCATATATCTCTCTGTGTGTCACACTCTGGTGTTTGACACAGTGAGCGCAGGATGTAACACTGTTTGAGTCTAACTGCGAACACAACACCTAAGGGGTCGCTGGCGACCAAGTCTAACATGCGCCAACGTACACCGCCGCCACAAGCAGAAGAAAGCGCGAATGAGTCACGCCAGAGGGCGTGCTGGGCGTTCAACCTTGAGTAGTCAGTTGGTGACTCGATGTTTGCCGCATCGCGTCATGTGTCGCGTGACGCTACTCATGAATATAGCCTCTAGTGTGGCTTGTAACTAGTCGAGTTCCTCGTCAAACAGTTACATAAGTAAACCTTTCAACATAATACTAACAGTAAATAAATTTAAAGATTGTCAACGAAGAATTTCGGCCACAACACACGGCTTAAACATTTCCGCAAAGGGAAAGAAGTTCCTAATGGAGAACTTGCCAACTACTGTACTATCGTTTCATAACAAGGAGACTATGTTTGACTCCTTGAAGACATGGACATTTTCAAAAAGACATAAAAACAAATTGTGTCAGATGACAACACCATCACCAAATGAGAGAGGGGCAAATACGGATAGAGACCTGGTGAATACGGAAACAAATGTTAATCTGCCGTACTGCTGCTGTATAAATCACCACGAATGCTCACAATTCTGCACTTATGAACCAAACCAACCTCAGATGAATGCTCCGAATGAAATGAATGGACCAAATGAAATGAATGGACCGAATGAAATGTGGAATCAGGTCGCATCGGTTATTGTCAATCACGGTACAAATGTTTCATTTTTTCCTTTGCTTAATTGTTAACGTAGAAGTAGTTTCAAGTTGTAGAAGTATTTTTATGGGAATGCACATTCCCATAAGAAAATACCGCTTACTTCTACTTAAAAAAATATCTGAACTGTCTTCAATATCTGGTGGAAATGCAGTATATACATTGAGGTTATGATAACCACAATAAGAAAAGCATTATTGAGTTTTTATAACCTTTTATTTTTATTAGAGCCTTTATAGTTATAAATTACTAGCTTCTGCCCGCTCAATCCCGTTTTCCCCCGTTCCCGTAAGATTTTCAGTATTTTTTCTGTCATAAGAACCTTCTCTTAACAATAAAAAGCACAACAAAAAAAATAACCAAATCAGTCTAGCCGTTCTCAAGTTATGGCCTGACAACGGAAAACGGGTTTAATTTTTATATATATATGTATGCGCTATGCTAAACCCCAATGAAATGTACCAGTAGGAACTTACAATTTCGCAAACGTAATGTCTAATTATTAAATGCTATTCTACCAAATACGTATATCCAATTGATTCCTGAATAGATCACAGAAAAGTGTTAATGAAATGTTTGGTATTATCTGTCTATGACAATTATGTAACTTGTGACCGACCATTACTCGATCCCTACTACATGATACTAGTAACATAAATAGCGGTAGGTCAGTTACCTATGTAATGTTTGGACCTCTGCATGTTGATGTCGACTGAGTGGTGCCGTCAGAGTAGAATACATCTGTCGCAACCCACTTACCACGGGGACTAAACAGCATCAGTTCTGAGTTTATTTCGGCATTTCTTCTTAAAGTAATAAGTAAGTAAGAAAATATCAGCCTTATTGTTCGCTTGAAAAACTGACGTGTAAAAGTGTTGCAGAATTAAAAGAAAACAGCGTCTCAACCTCTGATTAACCTCGTAATCCTTTTTAACTGCTTTTTCCAACCAGCCTGTCAAGCGTGTAAATTATGACCTCTTTAACATAGAAAGTCTTTATAAACCAGTTGATAATGATGAATATAACAATATCACATTTTATGAGGAGTAGTAGTGTTACGTTGTGCAGGCATCGTATTTACGTTAGTTTTATCTTTTTAGGTATGAATGCTGAATATAGTGATTCTTACTTTATACCAAAGTTACAGTCACAGCCTAGAAAATCGACCACAACACTGACTTTGTTCCGGACACAAGCCACGCTGTGTGATACGCCACCGTGTAGTAATCTGCCGCTGCGAAATACTATACCTCTACGTGATTTGCCGCCAAGTAAAAATTTACCGCCACCTAATAATATGCCAACGAGTCGTGAAAGGCCACCAGGTCGCAATTTACCGCCGCTTCATGAAATGCCACCGCTTCATAATATGCAACCGTATCATGATATGCCACCGAGTCATAGTACACCGCCGTTTCATAATAGACCGCCGTGTCATAATATGCCACCGTGTAACGAATTGCCTCCATGTCAAGAAACGCCACCATGTCCACCATGTCAAAATACGCCGCCGTGTCATGAAATCCCACCGTGTCATAATAGACCGCCGTGTCATAGTACTCCACCGTGTCGTAATATGCCACCGTGTAACGAAATGCCACCATGTCAAGAAAAGCCACCGTGTCAAAACACGCCACCGTGTCATGACATCCCACCGTATCATTATATGCCACCGTGTAACGTAAAACCACCACGTCAAGAAACACCACGTCAAGAAACACCACCATGTCAAGAAACGCCACCGTGTCAAAATGCGCCGCCATGTTATGAAATTCCACCGCGTTATAATACACCACCGTGTCATAATATGCCCCCGTGTCACGAATTACCACCGTGTCATAATATGCCACCGTGTCTTAATATGCCACCGTGCCAAGAAATGCCACCGTGTCAAAATACAGCGCCGTGTCATAATATGCCACCATGTCATAGTACACCGCCGTGTCATAATATACCACCGTGTCAAGAAACGCCGCCATGTCAAGAAACGCTGCCATGTTATAATCCACCACCATGTCACGATTTGTCCACGCCGCCGTGTTCATCTGATAATCACCATTGTAACGAAACTACCACATGTTCAGAGGTAAAACCATGTGAGTGCAATACAGAAAGGTTAAAGGAATTGCTAGAGCAAGCGCTCGGTACAGTAATGTCACAGAATATGAAGTCAGTTAGTATCAGAGATCACAGAGACACTGAGACACAGACACTCAAACATCCTTCTAGTACTGCAGTACTAGAAGCAGCTGCAGCTGTAGCCACGAAAACTGAAGGTAATTATTATATGTTGTTGTTGAAATTATACGTATGCTTCTATAGCGGAATATGCTTCTATATATATCATCGTTCATTGTGTGCTCGCCTGTGCGATTCTAAACGCCAAATTGTAGGTGCAATCCTTGTCGTATGAAGTATTTTGGAAATATGGCTACAAGTTCACGTAACGATTGGGCAACCGATTACTGTACAGCATGTTGCAAGTTCGATGTAGTTCTTTATGTGTTTTCTAAAATGTTTTCTGGATCAGTATATGTGAATGTCGAAATTTATATTTGGAAATGCAACCCCGAAAGTCGTAGTGTTTTCATGTTATTAATCAACATTTATGTTCACAGGAAAAGTAGAAAATTGTGCCACTTGTCATCGTCCTCCTAATGTCGACGAATGTGGTTGTGATCGAAGAAAGAAACGAATAAAACTCAAATCAGTGTGTCCATGCGAAGCATACCAGAGAGCGCGACCACGAAATACACGTGTTCAATCGCCCGATGCAAGTGGCTTAATTCCAATTCGCCAACCAGGACAGACACAGATAATAGGGCCAGCAGGAGAGTCAGGACAGCAAGCCGAAACTGGAAAAATTTATACCCAAGCGGGAAACAAACAAGCTATAAACACCACGACAATCGGTACTTCAACCGACCACGATTTAGATTATAAGAGCAAACGTATAAAGAAAACAAAAAACGTCATATGTGAATGTCCAATAGAAGTATCTGAACGCGAACTAAAGCCAGAACCAAAACCAGCTCCAGAATCAAGCCCAAAGCCAGAGACAAATCAATTTGAATGGGTTGACGCAAGAGAAGTAAAGAAAATTAAGTCGAATTTAACGCATAGAATTTCAGGATTTACAATGCAGGCAAAACCACATCCGCCTTCAACAGATGAAGAAAGCACAGTAGATGACGCGCTTAAACATTACGCAGCTGCTTACCCAGAAGTGTTTGAGCGTATTGTTAAAGAACAATTGTCAAAACAGCAATCACAACCTCCACCGCCTTCACTAGAAACCGATAACCGACCGACCAATGAAAAATCGTTGGTAAATATTATAAAAATTTCAAAAAAACCAAAAACAAAAGTCTACTGCGAGTGGCCTGAAGGAGTCCCACTTCTGCCTTTACATTCAGTTAAAGCATTACCGCCCTATCCTCTAGAAGAAACGTCTCCCTTACCAATGCCTCTTTCCTCACACTCAGAATCTACATTATCAGAAAGTCAGTACAGTAAGGGTCCCGTCAGATGTTTAAAGTTTAAAATACCAATCAAAGGTACCGGTTCGCCGGTTCTCGCAGATGTTTATTACTACGATTTACTTCAGGACTCATTTACAACTTGGTGACGTCTTCAACCGCAACCACTTGAAACAGAATTCAATTTTTTCTTTACTAAGTTTTTACAATTATAACTTGAGTACCTATGTATCGCTATTGTTTTGTAACTTTTATACAAATCAACCGTTATATTTGTTAGTAATAAAAAATCTATGCGTTAATTGTTGTGTTATTTCAGTAGTCACAAGCGTTTAGAATTACGGAACTGTTTTCAAATGGTAATATAATTATTTTTCTGAATTCTCAGTACCTACGTTAATAGTTATAGTACGAGAGATGACGACCAAAACCATGTCTCATAGCAATACGGCAAAAACCCTATAAAATCGTTAGATTGTATGATTCTGAACCCGACTAGGTGTGTAGTAACGGTTGAAAGTGTAGCAACTGCGTGGGAGGCCATTTCTGCTATGTCAAACATATTTGAGTATCGAAAAGTTGTCTGATAGAGAAGGTGCTACACTTACTTTGTCTGATATACATTTTATACATTTTTTGTACATGTGGACAACTTATTTTATCATGTCCAACAATTTTCAGACATATTGCCATGATACCGATCGGTAAAATTTGTTAACATTTTAAAAACGGTCTCAATATTTAATGCGTTCACATTTCCGTCTGAAAATTGTTTTGTTCGCACCAAACAACCAAAATTTACTAATAAAAAAGGTTTTCAGACGTATTGCTATGAGACATTTTTTTGTCTGGTGTTTTTGTGGTCAGATCAAACGCTACGCGGAAAATGTCTGATATTGGTATTTTCGAGTTCAGGATAATCGTATCTATCGATTTGAGGCGGTTTTGGCCGTATTGCTATGAGACAAAAATTTTGGTCGTCATCTCTCTAACTATAAAACAGAGTCTAAAAAAACATTTAATATAGAAACAAAAGTAGAACTGACGCCATGGTTGATGCAGTGTCTGAGTAAAAGGCGGCTGCACAACGTCTAAAAATTGTCGCACATCTAATTAGCATGGCTTCGACACGGTTTCAGCACGGATACTAATGCGCTACTAACGTGCTACTGCATCGCGATTGTATCGATACAGACCGCGTCAAACGACATCCAATATTGCCGCTGCTTCTGTTGCCTACGCTTCAGCTGCTTACGTAAAAGTAGTACTAAAGACAGCGTGACTAATGTTGCCTCAACGGAGTCCAACATGCAACTGTACTAATCCCAGGTATTTTTGTATCGTAACTGCATCGCGACCGAATCGCGTTTGCATCGCGACTGAATCTGGTCCCGTGGGCGAGGGCACACAGTTAGTGATCGTTTGGCGTCGGTATCCATACGACGCGCGACAGAATCGCGACTACATCACTACAAAAAGTCGCCTATGGTCAAGGGCTCTAAGAGGCCTTCAATAGTTGATGGTATCTTTAAGCTAAAGAAGTTTATATCGTGTGCCATAAAACCTCATTCACATGAATGATATTGATTTCATTAGCCTAAAGGTTTTGATTAATAATATTTTATAAAATTTAAGTAGTGAAGTACGGAAAAAATTATTTAAAGAGGATTATGGAGTCCGTCTCCAAAAACTTTCTCTACAAATTCGATGTGATCTTCAATCAACTGTTATATGATGAAAAATGAAATCAAAGGTAAAGGATGTGAAGATGTGAGAACCTATAACCTCTTTATTTATTATGCTCTTTGAAGCTAGAAAGCTGCACAATGTCACCCATACCGATGGTTGACAACTTGTTGACAACTGAATCTGTCACTGATGAAGAATTTCAAATGACAAGTAGCATGAACTATTGTTCCTATTTGTGGTAATAATAAAAATATTATACAAGGCCAAATGTAACGCATTAGAGCCGCTACTAAATATATTTTGGCAACAGATTTAGGGCTATATTAGGATATGACAGGTACGTGAATGAGTTTATAATAAATACCTATATTTTCAGGAACTACATTTGTTCAGTGATGAAAGCATACTCAACCCAAAAAGTCTGTTGATGCTGTTTATACTGTTTATGAATTTATTGCTTTACAGTTTAGTCCTTTCTTTTCAAAATGTGATTTGTTTATTTTGTATCATAAAGTTGTATCGAAACGGGCATTACGGCTGCAACGCAGTAAGCGTCAACATTACCATTATTACACTGCAGGTAGATATATCACGGATACGTATCTAAGCGTTACAATAAAACAATCACACATAACAATTTACAAATAAGTTTAAAAGTACCTTTTCTTCTACTGTCTTTCAAATCTCTTTATTTTGTTTCAGCTTTTACACAAAATTTATCCAAAGAAAGTAAACAAAAATCTAGTGTACGTAAAAGTAATGATTACCCGATAACGATCAATCAAAATGCCATGGTATCTCTAATGGCTTACTGATGTAAACCAGCAGTAACTAAAATAAGTAAATTATACGTAAGTGAAAATTCCCCGGATTGTAGCGAGTCTATATTTAATTAAAAAATACAATGAAAAATCCGGATAACAAAAACTGTGAAAATATTCAGAAAAACTATTTGAGAGCAACAGACGAAACCCATCGATCTTACATGGAAAACTTAAGCATCGATTTAAATAAAAATAAATCAAATAAACTTAAATATGGCAATGTTAATAATCAGAATCAACAGCCTACACTCGAATTTTCCTTGTCCAGATTCAGAGATACAAATATACAGGTTCCGTTTACTAGACATTCTAGCATGCCAGAAATAAAAACGCATAAACCGAGAAAGACAACTCGATCACGTCTTATCAGTTGTCAAACAAGGCGACTAAAAATAATCCAGCATAACCCTTTAGCATCCAAGTTTATTATAAACAAAGTGTCTGAGCATCGGTACAACAAATATCTTAAAGTCACCAATTACCCGAGTCAAACTAAATGGAAAGTGTACAGGTGTGAATTGAACGACAACCAAGACAACAGTAGTTGTTCTTGTAATTCTAATGCTATGTTGGAAGTAATGAAGGATATGTATTCACGGTTTAAAAACAAAAGATATGCTAACACGGCACCTACTAATGGGCGAAGTGAAAATAAGGAATTAGAGCTCGATATACCCAGATTAAAAGAAAAAACAGAAAAAAATAAAAATGCTGAAAATACACCACATGATAAGATGCTAGCAGAAAAAGAGAATATTTCAAGTGAAAAGTTTATGGTGAAGCAATCGTCAGAAAGAAAAACACCTCCGCTCAAAAATTTCTTAAATACAATTAGAAAGGAGCGAAAATTATCAACAGATCCAAAGTCAGGATCTAGAAGAACTAAAATACGTAAATCTAAACCATCCGGCATTGACAAACCCCAAATGTCTTTTGGTACTCCTGAAGAAATAATATCGTCAGAGGAGACACTTATTAGTAATTTTCTAAATGAAATTAAGACTCCTTTGAAAATAGATTCCAAAATGCTCCAAAAAGTAAGGGTGGTAGGACTCACAGACCCACTTGAAGGGAAGACTCCTGAACAAAAAGAAAAAATATTACGTTGCCTCATAGTGCATAGTATTCCCCTGCCTGATGGTAAAACATCTTCTGAAATAAAGGTGATAGATAAAATTCGTAAAGAAGTAGGTTTACCTTTACATCCTAAAACACAAATTATGAAAAATAGGTACATAGTTGCTGCTAATACGGGCCTCATGCAGCCATTGGAAGGAAAATCAGCAGAAGAAAAAATAAAGATTCTTCAAGGACTAGGAAATTTAGGGATTCCTTTACCAGAAGGTAGGACACCATCAGAAAAAGCATTAGTAACTAAAATAAGATTAAGAACGAAAGTCTTTTACATTTCTGATAGATTATCAGAAAAACTAAGAAAAGCAGAAGCTGCAGGTTTGCTGACACCACTCAAAGGAAAAACGGCTGAACAAAAGAATAATATTTTATCGAGTCTGGCTATGCAGGGTATTCCTCTTCCTGAGGGTCAAACGCCATCAGAAAGAAAATTTATTGAGAAGGTGCGTGATGACCTTGGTCTACCTGTTGAACCAATAAATAAAGCTATCAGAGACAAACATGAGCAAGCAGCTAGAACAGGATTACTTTTACCGCTGGAAGGAAAAACAACAGAGGAAAAACAAAAAATATTAATAGGTTTATACAACATGGGTATACCGTTGCCAAGAGGCAGGACGCCTTCAGAGAAAAATTATATATCCACAATATTATCAGCACCAATCCAGCCAGGCCTTTTAACAAACTCAAAAAAGAAGAGTAATCCTAAATCTACTGGATTTGCGCTCCTTGAAGGAAAAACATCAACACAAAAAGTTAAATTATTAAAAGAGCTTGCAATGCATAATATTCCTTTGCCCGAAGCCAGAACACCGTCTGAGATAAGGTTGATTAATATGATATGCGCTCGACTTCCCCCATTACCTAAGGAACTAACAATGAATGAAAGATTTATAAAAGCTGCTGAAACCGGTTTACTCGATTTGCCTAAAGAAAAACCACAAGCTGAAAAAGACAAAGTCCTATCTAGATTAACTGAATTAGGCATATCACTACCTGAAGATTGCACGTCATCAAAAAGCATATTGATACAGAAAGCCATAAAAGAACTGAGAAGACGATCATTAGAACAGTCAGTAGAAAAAGAAAACACAACCAATGCCAAGTGTAACAGCAACGATGAAGGCATTAAAAAACCTTTACAAATAATACCTAAAACAAAATTAAAATCAAAATTTCACCGAATTAGAGATTCCAAGATTACAACGAAGCTTGAAGCGACAATAACGCCTGACGAAAGTAATAAAGTACCAACATCTGATATCGACAACAAACTGCAAGAAGCTTTAGAGCAAAAGACTAAAAATGATTATTTGATAATATCAAAGCTAAAAAAATTAAAAAAAGCGAAAGCTGCAAATCTTTTTGCTAATCTAGCCGGAAAGTCAATTTCTGAAAAAGTAAAATTATTAAGAAGCATCGTTGAAAGTGGTTTGCCAGTGCCTGAGGGTAAAACGGTATCCGAAAAAGTCTTAATAAGAAAATTTAAGGCAGGAGCCGATTTATTACCTCACACAAAACCATCAGAAAGGGTTGAGAAAAAAAAAGAAAAGAAAATTGGCATATTAAATTCAAAGAAAGTAGTGAAAGAGGACTCACCACAACATTTGAAAGATTATATTGGCTGCTCATATGAAAAGGATCAAATAGTTGAAAGTGATAAGTTATGTATACAAACAAGTTTTCCTGAATTTTCAGCACTCTATACAGTACCTGGTGAACGTAGTCCTAGTGTTAGAAATGAAACTTTCGCCGTCAGCGAAAGTCTTAGCGAAGGAAAAAGAGATACATGTATAAGTGCTATAGATACACCGACACATTCAATCGTCTGTACTAACCGCATGATGCTTGATGAAATAATGACAAGACTACACCACAGTGACCCGGTGTCCGACTATTTCGGTAACTTCAGTGCATCTCAAAAGTCCCGGTATAAAGTTGAAACGTTTTGCAGTAATTCTGGTATAAATTTAAGAGCCAAACTATACTCGGCCAAAAGCGAAAATTATCAACAGAATAGTTTAACGCCTTTTAAGCGGCATACGAACATTTCAGAAAGAAGAGAACCCAGTTCAGGTGACTTTAAATCGACAGATAGTGTTTATAGAGATCCAAACACACAGTCTGCAGCTGACACTTTAGATTCTATTGTAGTAATAAAAAGTGAAACTTCATTGTCCTTTAACTCCAGCCCAAGCAATAGCATGGAAACCGCCTGTAAGATATCTGATATGGGCAGTGGCATCACATCGTATTCCTCAAATTATTCGAGTATTCCATCAACTGTCGACCTCATGTGTGTAACTTCACTAGAAGAGCTTACAACAAGGTAACTACAAATCAAAATTTGTAAACCTATTCCAATGAATAGCAGCAGTAAGACAGGGCAATCCCTGTCTCGTTCTCGTTCGAAACATGATATAAACGCTAGTCAAATTGAATTGTGACATTACGAGGCCTATGATTATGTCAACACCATACATGATCTATTCTTTTTTTATTCAATTAGCCTGTCTGCCATTCATCTAGTTGGACAAACCACAAAACCCTCTATTTATATATGGTTATCTATGGCACCGCTACGTCTTCGTCTCGAAATATCTCTTAATATACAGGTTCAAAGTATTGGTGGCATACAATATTTTGTTATTTTCATATACATTGTACCAGTGGTTGGTAGAAAAAAGCACAGAAATATAATATAATACCTATTTGTTCTGTAATAGATAGACTAAATTGTATTTTTTTCTGAAGCCAAATGTTTTTTTTGTGGGGACTAAAAGTATATAAGTATACATAGTAGCAAGTAGCAAGCAGTTTAAAACGTATGTTTGCACAGTACTAAATTTTATATGCAATTTAAAAAATTATACTCATATTTGTTCGTAGCTTGAATAACAAGCTGAGAACCCAACCCGCAGTGATTAACAAAAACAAAAATCAATTTAATGCAACACATCGTGAATCTATACAAGAATTCACAATATTAAGAATGTCTCAAACAAATCTTCAACTCAAAAGCGAGGAAGGAAAAGCGAAGCATTCAGCAGAACATTTTACTAAGGAACCCGTGGTAGTTATGGATGAATTTCCAAGTGAACTTGATGTATCAAAACTAATGGATAAAATAATGACTAAAAAGCGTTTTGCCGGCGCATCATCAATATTCATAGTAGTACCAACGTCTGATGATGAAGAAGCAGAAAATACTAGGAGGTTAAACTCCGCTACTAGTTTTCTATCGAGTGAATCTCCATTGACATCAAAAAGCACCAACGTGAATAAAGGTAAGACTTTCAACGATATAAGTTTCTCATTTTGTTTATAACCAATTCTATATTAAATACTATACTAAACATGCACGTATAGATTCACAGAAATTAATTTCAACTGAAAATCGAGGTTTAAAAGTATGTGGTAAATCAAAACGATTTTACATGCGAGAGTTATCATCTTCCAATGAAACACAGAAGACGGGTCCCAATGAATCTCGAGGAGTTCTTAAATACGTCAAGAAAACAAAAAACGAGATTAGACGAATTGCCACATCAAATAAACAGTTTAGCATGTTGAAAAATAAACCACCAAAGCAAGGAATAGCAATTGACACGACTGAGGATAGACCATGTTGTTGCGAAATTAAAAATTCTGCAGATGTGTTAAAAGCTGAAATTGACAAACCTATTGATCCGCACCCTACGAATGTTATACCCAAACCTCGTTTTCTCAAAGGTAAGGTTTTAATGACGTCATGACGTGTAAATATAAATAAACTTTGTGAGAGCAAATTAAAAAAAGTTTAAATATATTGACTTTTGTTTTAATTCGAATTCCTTTGTTTTAGATAAACACTCTGGCTGGCTTCGTTCTCTAAGCAAGCGTAGGGGATCAACTATTACGTCCGTTGCCGCTTGTCAAATACATTCTCAGTTCAGTAACGAACAACCTACAACTCAAACACCTTGTCCTATTCATGGTTATTCCCAATACCCACAATATTCACAATCCGCACAATATCCACAAAACGCACAATATCCACAAAACGCACAATATCCAGACAATTACGTTGATCCTTGTGCAAATGTTACTTGTGAATGTCATGACGATCCGAAGAAACCACCTAAATCAACCAAAACAAAACAAAAAACACAATCAATACAACCACGCCTATCACACCTACCAACACAATTACCCCAACCACACCAATCGACTCATTCACACCGATCATTCCAACCATACCAATCACAACTACCTCAATCATTTCAGCCACAGCAATTAACGCAACCGCGCCAATCAGCACAACCATACCAATCGCCCCAACCATACCAATTAACGCAACCATACCAACCAACCCAATCAACTCATTCACACCAACCACACCGACCACACCACGCACACCAACCACACCAATCAGCACAACCACGACAATCAGCCCAACCACGACAATCAATGCAACCACGCCAATCAACACAACCATACCAATCAACACAACCATACCAATCAACACAACCATACCAATCAACACAACCATACCAGTCGTCCCATCCATACCAATCAAACCAACCCTACCAATCAACCCAACCAGGTCAACCATACCAACCCTATCAACCATGTCAACCCTGTCCTTCATCCCAACCCAATCAATCATACCAACCATGCCCATCAAGCCATTCATACCCAACAACCAATCCATACCAACAAGCCCAGCCGTACCAATCAACTCAACCGTACCAACCTGGGCAATACCAACCGTCCAACCAAGCTCAACCATACCAACCTCACCAACAATACAAACCATACATGCGGGCAAGCAAATCACAACAACCAACCGGAACAAACCGACCGTATTACACCCCAGAACATGATTACATTGACGGCCCGGAGCATCGACGTCGAGCAAGTAAAGTAAGGATATCAGTGGGACACGACGAAATGGGCATAAACGAAATTGGCAGTAGACCTATTGGTTAGTAATTTTAATTTACTATATTTTCTATTTTTATATTCACTGTTGGAGCTGCAGCACTATTATCACCGCGTATGAGTTTTAATATCAATAAAGTATTGATTCCAATGTGAAAATATAACTAAACGTGGGTGGTTTCACCCGCTCTGCTCGGCACCTATTGTCGTCGTCAATCGGTCCTAGCGTTATGTTTCAGCCTTTCTCGATAAATGGCCTATCCAACACAGAAAGATTTTTTTAACCGAACCTGCAATGCCTGGTCTTAGCGCGTTGAAGCAAATAAACAACTTCTTCAGCTTTATATTTTATAAAGTAGAACCTGGATGCCCGAGCTGTGTTCGGTATTTTTAATATATATTTTTTAAGAGAAACAAAGAAAAATGTGGAACAAAAAATGAAAAATAAAATAGGACGAAAAATATACAAAATAATTAATATTCGGTTTGAACTCAAATATCCTGCGTAGCAGCAGTTCTACTAACTACTTTTGCTTTAAAGGTAACTATTTGTTTAACGCGACTTCGTCCGCGTAGAATGATGACTTGTGGCAGAATTCATCCAAATCGATTTAGTTGCCTGGGTGAGATTTATTAAAAAACGTGGTTTCAAAAAAATAAATAGTCAAGCAGGGATTTTACCAGTCCCCGTAAGGATATTTAGTGGTAATAACTATTCTAACGACTATTGTTGTAGTGTTTGTTGTTGTTGCGAAAAATTAAAAGAACATAACTTACTCTTCAAAAATTAACAGTCGGCCACCATACTATCATCTAAATAGTTTTATACATCGTATACAAACTCTTTAAAGGATAGGATAGAACCTTACAGTATTTAAACCACAGAACATATAAAGAAGGTTAGAAAGGAAATAGTTCCTGATTTGTATCAGAACGCGCGTCGCTGTTAGTCCCCACTCTTTGGGCCGAAACACAACCGCGTTGCGTCGCTGCACTGCAACACTAAAATCGGCAGTTTGCGTTGCGGCGTTGCGTAGGGTAACCAGTTCGTCGTGATTTTTTATTGTGTATAGACGTGTCTCTGCCATGGACCATCGTGAAAACCTTATTGCTTATTTGTTATTAAGAAGACATTACTCTGCTATGCTGGAACGAGCGCTGCGTTGCGGCGCCGCGCCGCTTAAATCGGCAGTGACGCTACTGTTGATTCTATCGGCGCGGCGCCACAACGCCGTTATGTGTATTGATTGGCCCTTTAACTTTACTACGAGCAAGAGACCAATATCTATGCGGAAAATACACACAAATAAACAACAAGCACTAGGTTTAAAGATTTGCTATTGGTCGTCACACTGAGGTGATCACTTCGTTTGACATATGTATATATGACCAACAAATTATCGTGGTTTTTTTTTACTTCAATGGGGATAGTTATTGTGAATGACTCGTCCACAAGTATGTGCTGGGTGAGATATGTAAATCTTTTTTGTCGTGATTATTATCAGAACATATTTTACACGACCTGACCCTTGCTGGGTAGACGTCTTTTGCGATTGCTAGACCATAATTGAAGGTAAATCTCATTATTATTCAAAATGTCGGCAAAAAAATGGCTAGGTATGTCAAATCCTGATTCGTAATTAAAGTACTCCTATCCTCACCTGCTTTATTCAAACTGTAAAATAAGGATTATGTTGTTATAGAAGAGCTCGTGTATAGTGATTTTAGTGCTAAAGTATGCTAAGCCATGCTTTGGCACAAATGGGCCGACTGGACCGAAGTGATACAGCCTCGCAGAAAACCGAAGTGAAACAAGGCTTGCGTCGTGTTTCATTGTGTGAGTGAGGTTACCGAAGGCCCTATTACCCCGCCTCCCCAAAATCTACAATCCCTAAATCTCCAATAGTTTTCAAATTCCTAACTCCTGTGGTGTTTCAGGTGTCCATGGAAGGCACCGATTTGTATACGTCTGCTCGTTTACCAGCTTATGCCATAAAAAAGTGTAAAAATATGAACTACATTTTAAAAGTAACTAGGTATAAAAACAAAATAAATATCTTGCTAATTGTAAACAGCAAAAATTGACAATATTATTTAGGTGTTGTTACTTAGGACACCGACAACGAATCAGAATTTGTAACATATGTATGAACAAACTTGATTTTTGTCTCTTTTCTTTGAGATTTACGCCTAGTCAATAATTAACTGTTATTTCAGTGCATTAACTAATGTCCGCCTTATGTACCATTGTGTGTTTCTGTGTATGTACATTAAAGTTTTAATAAATAAATAAGTAGTTAAAGATATTTGCCTTTGACTTTGATTAGTAAAAAATCCCTATAAAACGAATACAAGATAGATTCTGTTTGATTGATTTTGAATTGTTCAAAAAAGCAAATTCTTGTCTTGGCAACATTTTGCATGATTTTTGTGGGATTATTGTAAGCGCAAAATCAAGTTCATCATTTTTCAAAGACGTGGAGAGATGTTCATCTTAAAGAACCTGTAACTTAACGTGATATATACCGTACAATAGTTGTGAACTATGTTATGATGAAAGCTATTTATCAGTCTGACCATAACGAACGCTAATTGTACATACATTTTAGTTGAATTGGTGTAATACTTGTGTTTATTGAAAATTAAAATACGAACTTAAACAAAATAAATAATAGTTAGATTACTAAATATGTACAACTTATGTTAAAAATTAAATAAAAGAAAACTAAAAATAACTATTTACACACAGTTTAGTTGAATTGAATTGTACATACATATTTCAGATCCAAATCTGCAGCTAAGCAAACACCGAAGTAATTTGGTACGAAGGGTACCAATGAAAGAGGGAGCTGTTAAATCCATTGGAACAGTAACGAACTTGGTGGACACAAATATCCAATCAATGCCGGAAAATGAGAAAGCTTTAAAAGACAAGGCTAAAGTAGCATTACCTGACATATCCAATTCAACTAAAAAGTCTAAAAGTCCAAATGATGCTAAAAAATCAAGCGGAGTGAGTTGTGAATGTGTATGCAATGAAGGCGTGAATACTGGAAATGCCACATGCGAAGGAAATTGCCAAGGTTATATGAGTTCGAATACTAGAAGTGTTTTTGGAAACGATGGAAAGCCAAAAACTTACGGAAGTGAATGCGATGAGAAGGTTGAATGTGCTTGCCATGGTAAAGCAACTGATAAAAAAAAACAAAAGAAAACCAAAGACAAATCGACTTCACCAACTGATACAGAGAGTCCAAAACCTATCAAATCTTCTGACAAAACAAAACCAACTGGAGTTGACCGTAATACTTCAATGAGCCCAAAGGATAAATCGATCCCAGAATCTGCTAGTAAAAGTCCAGTACTTGACCCTAAATCTAATGTTAAATACCCTAGTTCAATAAGTCCCCCAAGTTCAACATGTACCCCAGGTTCAACAACTCCCCCAAGTCCAATATGTCCCCCAACTCCAACATGTCCCCCAAGTCCACCATGTCCCTCAAGTCCAACATGTCCCCCAAGTCCAACATGTGCCCCAAGTCCAACATATCCCCCAAGTCCGATATGTCCCCCAAGTTCTATAAGTAAACCAAAAGATTCCACAATGCCTAAACATGATAGTGAAAGTACGAAATCTTCCTTGAGTCCTAAAGATTCGTCAAGGCCAAAAACTGACAGCCAAGGCACACCTTCTTCAGACTCTAGTGTTGAACCTACTGACAAAGCCCCTAAAGTGAAAGTCGGCAAAAAGACTATTTTGGATCCTAAAGATATTTCAAAAAGTGGTAGTCAAAATATAAAACTTGGCTCTGAAATGGATATTAAAGTTCCTGGCAAAATTTCAAAAGTTAAAGTTAATGAAAAGACTATTTTGGATCCTAAAGATCCGTCAATCCCGAAAACTGATAGGCAAAGTACTAACAAAACTAGTCCGGTAAAGAAGACTTCATCGAGACAAAAGGATAAGAAAAGCAAAACTTCCTTAGCTCCAACTGATCAGAAGGAATCATCAAGTCCAAGAGATCAGTTTACCCCAAAAATTGAAGGTGAAATCCCACCAACTGGTAAGAAAGCTTCAATGAGTCCTACGGATTCAGCAAAGCGAAAATCTAGTAGTAAAAGTCGAAAAAGCAGCCCTAAGAAAACTCCAATGGTAAATCCTGCACAAATTGTACAAAATCCTGTTCTTAAGCTTAGTTGTGGATGGATTGATCACAAAAAGCTGATGAAATTGCGATCAGAAATGTCTGTCGAAACATCAGGGTTCAAAGCGTGTAAAAGAAAACGTAAACCACCGCCAATAGACCGCTCAGTAGAATTGGACTTCGAAGAAGCAGTCAAGTATTATACTACTAAAAATCCGCATCTATTCAGTGACTTGATACAAAAGAGCTTAGAAGGCACAGTTTATGAAGAAGAACCTGAAAAACCTGTGCTTACGAAATCGGAAAGGGCAAAGAGTATCTTTAAGAAATTATTACCAAAATCCAAGCCACTGGACCCAGAACCACCTATAGAAGAAATTCAAGAATTGTGCGAATGCCCTTACGGACGTATTCCTCCACCTATAGGATACCACCCTATTCCTGCTATACCTCCCAGAGAATTAGCTAAATTATATCCAAAACGAGGCTTAAAACTTAGTGTTGGTGGTAAAGGCTCTCTATCACCAGGATTGCCTGATTTGTTTCCTCTGATATCAAAGACTCAAGATCGCTGCATTGACTGATTATTAAGGAAGTAATATTGTTTTTCTTATTAAAAGTATGTTAGGTAGCTTTGATGTTTTTTTTAAATATTTTGTTTTCGTTGTTTTCATTTCTATGAAATATATTTTAATTTATTATTTTTTGTGTTAAATATTCCGATAACCATACAAATATTTCCAGAATTTACATCACGCATTTTTTTGCGACATTTGTCATGGCTATTACTAGTAAGATCAAAACTTTATCATTTTTAGAATGAGCACCTAGTTTTACTGACAGACAGACTGACGGACAATCCAATTTTGATAATCATCATATCAAGAATTAATTTTAATAAACGCTTTGACTTTGAATAAAGAATTTGACTACCAATGCTAGTTGTCTAAAACCGACTTGTGACGATGAAATATTCACGCTCTCATACATTTTATACGAGACCGTTCACACGTATCCTAAACTCCGGGCCTAAAGTACTAACCTACGTTAATGAGTCTATTTAGTGATGTTTGACCCATACACCTTGGAGAGTATGAGGATCTCAGTACAGTAGCAGCGAGTATTTAGTAGCTCTTTCTCGCTTCTTTTCAATACTCGCTAATCGACTATGATATGAACATAATGCCAGCAAGGTATTAGAGACGCTAAAAACACGCTTTTAATCACATTTCATATATTATGTCACTGACACAAGCATAGACTTTTGACAAAGAACTCGCCTACAACGATTTATAACAAATGTAAATAACAGTTTCCACGCGTTGATGTCTTTAATTTGGCGAATTAAACTATAAGAAATATGTTATTTATTAAACTTTGACTAGTTTTGATTCACAGAGGGACTCTTTTTCATGTCTTATTCTTATTCTTATTCTTATTCTATATGTCTCTCTGAAACTCGACACGAGTAGAAGTTTTTTTTATGGCATAAGCCGGTAAACGAGTAGACGGATCACCTGATGGTAAGCAATCAGCGCTGCCCATGGACACCTGGAACACCAGAGGCGTTACAGGTGCGTTACCGGCCTTTTGGGGATTACGAGTTTAAGGATCGTTGGGGATTCAGGAATTGGGGAAATTGGGGAAGGGGAGGGTAATTGGGCCTCCAGTAACCTCACTCACACGACGAAACACAACGCAAGCGTTGCTTCACGTCGGTTTTCTGTGAGGCCGTGGTATCACTTCGGTCGAGCCGGCCCATTTGTGCCGAAGCATAACTCTCACTTAAAGTTTTCTCAGTGTTCATTATTTTATCAATTGAGGTATACAAAAATCTTATCAACTCACGTAATTAGAGTATAAAAAAATCAAAAAGAAGTTCAGGCTTACAAAGGAAAAATGATTTAATATTTAATCATAATTTTTATTCCCGTAATTTTTAGTCATTGAAAATAAGTCAAATCAATCTCAGTGAACAAGGCAAGTACCAATGTGATTTTTCCGAGTTATACGTACATTCAAAGATTATTTAGACTCCAGTGATAAACAGTAAAGGAACATAGTGAGGAAACCTGAACTTATAATTTCTAATTATAAGTTTGAAATCGTCAACCTGCATTGAGCAAACGTGGTGATTAATGCTCAACCTTCTTCGTCCCAGAAGAGGTTTATAGGTTATTGATTAATTGATTGATTGACCACTATTAAAAACTAAAAGCGAAGATTGTTACGAAATAGTAACGGAAAACACCTTTTTTGTAATTATTTACTTACAGTCGAAGTTGATTTGAAGTTGAAGATACGCGGTGGGTGGGTGGTTCCGCTATTTAAAACCGTAGTGCATATACTTTGAGCGGTGCACGGCTAGGGTAGTGCGACCGCGAAAAAAAAAACGAATGCGACCGTAGGCAAACGACGGCAGTACCTAGAAATGATTATATACTAACTGACCCGGCAAACTTCGTATTGCCTAAAAGTTTTTTTCTTACCTTTAAACCTTCCCTGAACTTCCACAAACATTTCAAAACAAAAGTTAGTCAAATTGTTTCAGCCGTTCTCATTGAGTTTTAGCGAGACTAACGAACGGAAATTCATGTTTATTTATATAGATACATTACACACGCCATGTGCACAACATACAACACTCTATGCAAAGTTTATGTTCTATGTGGTTACAGCGCTGTGACAGTTGTACAAGCGTATCCTGGAACTGAAATTAAATATCTAACTAAACTTCACTTGTTCCAGTTAAACACAAAAAGATCATTAGCAATTCGAAGCGTAGTCCTGAAGTGGAATGTGGCTGCTATGATGAAATTCCACTTGCTGAAGGCCAATGGTGGAGAACTTTCAAGTGGCCAAAGAATCCGTCAAGCTCGAGAATTTGGCGTAGAAGCCATAAAACCGAAAGTGGAGCTGCAGCTGATAATGATGTTATTTGTTTATGCGACACAGATGGCGAATATTCAAAAACAAGTCCAAATGGCGAAGTGATTTGCGAATGCAATGAAGTAGAAGACAACTGTTCAACATTTCAAAGTACTGAGGATTCGGAAATCGATACATGCCTTGCCAAGGATAAACGGCAATCAATATTTTGTGATCCCCTAAAAAACACACAACAGAACAAAATGGCACAGCTACCGCCGCAGCCCTACCCTGCCACGGGTAAACGGCAATCAATACTGTTCGATCCTCAAAAAAACACGCAACAGAATAAAATGGCACAACTACCGCCGCAGCCGTACCCTGGCACGGGTAAACTGCAATCAATACTTTTCGATCCTCAAAAAAACACGCAACAGAATAAAATGGCACAACTACCGCCGCAGACGGGCCCTGCCACGAATAAACTGCAATCAGTAGTGTTTGATCCCCAAAATATCACGCAACAAAACAAATTGGCACAACTACCACCGCAAGTGCCGCTAACTCAACCGCAAGTGCCGCTAACTCAACCGCAAGTGCCGCTAACTCAACAGCAAGTGCCGCTAACTCAACCGCAAATATTGTCGCAAGTTCCGGTACAAGTACTGCTGGAAATACCACCTAAATCAGTAAGACAAAATCCAATAGTGAAGCTTGATTGTGGATGGATCGATTATAAAAATTTGATGAAAATGAGATCAGATCTCTCTATTGAAACATCAGGCTTTAAGGCATGTAAAAGAAAACCTAAACCACCACCAATAGATAGATCAGTTGAATTAAACTTTGAAGAAGCAGTCATGTACTACACGACTAAGAATCCGCATCTATTCCGTGATTTGGTGCAGCAGAGCTTACAAAATCCAATTGACACTGATGGTAAAATAAAAAAACAACATGAAGTAAAAAAAGAATTGTCTACGGCAAGGAAAATATTTAATAAATTCAAACCAAAAGTGAAGCAAGAGGAACCAGTACCACCGCAAGAAGAATATGAGGAGTTGTGCGAATGCTCTTACGGTTGCATTCCTCCACCTATAGGATACATACCTGTGGCTGCTTTATCTCGGAAACAGCGCGATAAATTGTATCCAAAAGGCTTAAAACTTCACCTTGGTGGTAAAGGCTCTCTTTCACGAGGGCTCGCTGATATCTGGCCTTAATATGCATTAAGACATGTAATAATTTTATTTTGTTGATTAAAATAGTTGATCAAGAGTCTCCAATCATTACCAAAGTTTTTATGACTTTAAGATATTGTAGGTAGTAGTAAAACGGCCAGTGACTTATATTGTTTTGCTGGAGAGCTCTCGTGTTATTTATAGAGAACAGGGTTGTTACGATAAACTGATAAATTAATAGTCACAATCATCAACATTACGCTACTCTTCGGTCTCTGCTATTAATACAGTCCCTTAGCCGGCTTAGGGGCAGGTTATGTGAACTTCTTATGGTCTAAAAGTATTATTTAAAATGAACTAACGTTTAAGTGTAACGTAACCATTGTTTCGATTACAATGGAAATGTTTATCAATGAAAACAGATAAGGATTTCAGAAATGTGAACTGAGCGATAAAGTTTATGAGTACAGAAAATTAGATTTAGCGCCGGTTTCACCACCGTATAAGTACCTGATAAACTTATGTGACAGATAGTTCATACAAATTACGTTCTCAATCCAAACTTATCTGGTAGATTGCGGCTATCTGGATACTGTGGAACAGGCCCTTAGAGTGACTATAGAAGAAAAAGTAGCCTAAACCACTCTAAACTAATTAGTAGATAATTAAGAGCACGGAGATCTGCCAACTAGGTACATTTCATTTCTATGTTATATGTATGTAACAGGCGTGTTGATTTCAGCATCTATACTCTATTTCATTTTGTTACTTTGGCATTTGGACTTAGAACAAACTAGCTGTGATAGTACAATCGTGTTTAAAATTTTTGTGTGAACTTTATTGTTTAAAGAACTCGATATTTTAAAACGATATCTTTATAATTTCAAATACCAAAATGCACAGTATTCGTTACCTGTATGAAATGCAGTATAATTACTAGTTTTCCACCTGCGGCTTTAACTGCATCGAATTTAGAATTCTTATATTTAGTTGGTTCTTCCTACTTTTATTATATACTAGATGTTCCCCGCGGCTTCGTCCGCGTATAATAATGTCTTCTGGCAAATTTGGGATTTTTTAATTATTCTTCTCCAAGGTTAATTTAAATGCTATGTAACAAGAAGAAAGAATCAATTCAGTTATATTGTTTCCAGAATGACAATCATGTTCATTGAACATTATTTTTGTTTTGTCTAAGTTCAACCGGAGCCCGATGCGCGCGGAAGAATCAGCCAGGCTGCTCAGCATATATTGCAAGACCTGCACGGTTTCAGCCACGATGACGATATCATCTGCAAATCTCAAGTGTGAGAGATACTTGCCGTTTATGTTTATGCCCCGTATGTTTTGTTATGTTAACATCCACTTGTCTCACCCCTCGATGTAGGTGAATAGGTTCAAACTGCTTATTCTGTACTAGGACGGCCACAGTCGCAGCATCGTACAGTTCTCTCAGCACTTGGATATGTCGCCAGTCGACTTGGCACCGTTGCAAGGACAGACCACATCTCGATATAGTCAAAAGCCTTCTCATAGTCCACCAATGCCAAGCATAGAGGCCGATTATACTCCTCGGTCTTCTGTATAATCTGCCTCATTGTGTGAATGTGGTCTACGGTGCCATATCCTCCTGGGAACCCGGCCGGCTCGGGGGGCTGAAACTCATCAATTCTTCGTGCGAGACGATTCGTGATGACCCTGGAAAACAGCTTATAGACGTGGCTCAGAAGGGAAATAGGACGATAGTTCTTCAAAGAGGGTTTTATCTCCCTTTTTGAAGAACATAACGACAATGCTTCTGCTCCACGCCCCGTAAAGAAAACGGAATTGAATATACTGTGGAGCCGCTCGAGAATCGGTTTTCCCCCTGCCTTAAGGAGCTTCGTCGTAATTCCATCCTCACCGGGGCTTTTCCATTTTTAAGCTGTCGCAAAGCACCAACGATCTCGTCTTGGCTGACCTCTGGCAGCTCTTCAGTGAAGTGGCGGACAAGTGTGGCTCTGGGATCTCCCGAATACGATTGGGGTTGGGGTGCTTGTGACACATATAGATCACTGTAGCGCTGAACCTCCGCAAGAATCTCCGTCCCAGAAGCGATGACTTTTCCCTCAGATATTGTCAGATTCGTCAGATGGCTTCGACCTAGTTGCTGGATGAAGATTTATGACCCTCGATTTCGCTCGATCGCTTTTTTTATAGCACGTGTGTTGGAGCACCGTTGGTCACGTCTTACCTGCTTCGAGATCTGTTTATTATTCGCCTCTTCATCAACTGCAGAGACTCCCCCGAAAGCCTCGCCCTCCTGCCGGTATTTTGCGCCCGCCACATTTTTGTCCTCTCATCCTGGAGTATCCCGATAATTTGGTCGAGTTTTTGGTCAATATCAGCGTCTATTGTGGTTTCCAAGACAGCGAATCGATTTTCCAGCTTCAGCTGGAAGCTTTTGGACCCGACAACAGTTTGGAGCAAGTTAAGTCGGAGCGTAAACTTCATAAGACGGGCACGCTCAAATTTGTGATTGATGTATAAAGTGCCTCGTACCAGTCGGTGATCACTTCCGGTGTTGGACCTAGTGACCACAGAGACATCTCTAAATATTCGCTTTATATCCGTCATAATGAAGTCTGTCTCATTTGTAGTCATAGCGTCGGGGCTTCGCTACGTCCACTTCCGTTGAGGCTGCTTCTTAAAGAAGGAGTTCATCAAGAATAGCCCTCCATCTCCAGGAAGTTGACGAGCATCTGCCCCCTATGGTTCCTGCTACCAAACCGATGCGGTCCTATTACCGATTCGCCGCTAATATGTACTCCCACTTTTGCGTTAAAGTCCCCCATGACAACGTTGAAGTGGGCCTTTTGGGTGGTATGCAAGGCCCTGGAAATGTCCTCGTACATTTCCTCTACTTCATCGTCCGAATATGTCGAGGTAGGGGCGTACACTTGGACGACCTTTAGGTTATACCTCTTACTAAGTTTTATCACAAGGTACGCTACCCTAGTCGACACGCTGCAGATCTCAAAGACCCTGTCTAAGAGGGATCTGTGGACCAAAAACCCGACGCCGCCTTGAGATGGTTGGTCCCCTTCCCTAAAGTACATGAGATGGCCAGACTTCAAGGTCACTGTGTCCTCCCCCTGTCTTCGGACTTCAGGCAGCCCCAGAATATGCCACCTCATGCTCCCCAGTTCCACCTCAAGCTGAGCCAGGTGTTCTTAGAGCCGTAGCGTGCGTCCGTTGTACGTAGCCAGGGTCAGTTGGTGTTGTCGGCCTTTCGTAGCCCAGGGATTCTTCGCACCCCTTGTCCCGCCGTTACCATGGCCGCCGACTTGGCCAGGAATAGCGGAGCGACCGGGAACTAGGGGCCGTTTTTTAGAGTGTCGTGCCATATAAGGTAATGCCCATAATGATATAAACAATGATCCATTGGCATGAAACTCAGTTGTGAAAAATATGTCAGATAACATAGAAAATTATATTTAATATTATAAATTTGTGTCTATTTGTTTTGTTAAAAATGGACGTGATTGAATGGAGATAGTTGAAAGGATTGAACACTTTCAATGCCACTACATAGGCGACATTTTGTTTCTTTCTAACCTATCACTTCCGTAAAATAGGAGACGGAAGTTTGTATGGAGCATTTTGTAATTTTCAAGAAACCTAAAAATATAGTGACATGTTTGTGACTAGCAAAACATCGGGCACTAATTATTTTTTTAACTTCTGTAAACCTGCCCTACTTTGAAAGAGCGCGAGCGAAACCATGGGCAGAAGCTAGTCCATGAATATAATGTATTTAGTTAATTGAAGTCGTATCTTTTCTTTAAAATCTCTGGTTCTGTTACAACTAAATAGTATTACTAGTCCTTGAAAACAGTTTTCCATTGACAGTCAAAGACTTAAGCAATTTATGGAATTTTTTGATAGTATTTTCACACATCGGGTTACATTGGGTATCGAAATTTTCACACGGTTCCCTTTTTTCTGTCTTATTAAATATATTTCCAACGGTAAAATTATTTTTCAAATTGGTCCGGCAGTTTCGAAGCCTATTCAATTCAAATAAACAAACAAAAAAATCAAATCTTTCCTCTTCATACTATTAGTAACACATAACATAACATCACGCCTTTTATCCCCGAAGGGGTAGGCAGAGGTGCACATTATGCCACTGTACAATGTAACACCCACTTTTCACTATTTTTGTTATGAGTCCCATGTAATAGGGGGTGAATACTATTAGTGTAGATTCTTATAATAGAATAAAAAAAACCAATCTTACTCTCTGAAAAAAACATACATAGGCCTCTTCAATAGCACACCACTGAGCTTAATCTTCTCTGTTACTTCAGAAAACTAGCCTTGACCAAGCAACGTCAGTCGGATCGCCTCGTCTTGGACGCTATCCTTCAGTGAGACTCCGAACATAGCCTTTATAGCTCGCTGCGCTGTGAACCGTGCACCGTGAACGTCCACTTTTCATAAGGTCGTTACCGGCAGGACGTCATTGAAACTTTTTCTGTCATACTACCTCTAATATCAAATCTTTATCGAAATTATTTTTATCTGATTTTCTAAAACTTAGATAAAATATTTTTAAATAGAGTATTCGCATCGCATCAACGGCTATAAGCCTGTCCACATATCCTCGTAACATTACGTCAACGTCGCATGCTCGTACCGTTCCACGTTGACGACGTAAGAGTCGAGATGTTGACTGACTCTTACCCTAATAATCATATCGCTTACGACACGACACTTTGTGTGCCAAGGAACTTACTACATGTCATGTAAGCCCACGCAGGTTCTTCATTGAATCCCCGAACAAAATAAATAATTTTAAACAGCGCTTGCAATAAATTATGACCAAATAATCATTTAAACATTTTATTTTTAAAATGAAGTTACCAGTAAATATTTTCTGAAGCATGATTTCTATAATGAAAGTAAGACCCATGACGATCTCTCTTTACACGAATAGTTTACAAATTAATCGTACTGTAAAATAAAAATATTTCATGACATACAACTCTCCGAAATCAAGTACAATTAGGATTCGGATTACCCGGTGTTGCACCACCATTATAGCCAATTGTTAACTTAAATCCTTCAGGGTACCAATATGCTGGGTCTAGGTCCGCTTCTGCCCCCATATCCGAGTAGGTAGCATCTGCTAATGGAATGACATCCTGTAGATTCTCTAATTCTTCTTCCGTAAAAAACGAATCCTTTAAATATTTTATTATTTTAAAAATTTTTTCTCCTACTAAATTCTCTATATAACTCATAATTTTGTCGTCATGCTCTTTCCTCTTTAATGCACTAAGCCTCCGCTTTTCCGCTTCTAGCTTTACTCTTTCTGCTTCCAGCTTCATTTCTTCTATATACTCTAATCTCTGTTTTTCTTCTAGTGCCATCCGGTAGCGTTCCTGTATCATCAACTCCCGAAATCTTACTGGATTCAAGTTAGCAAAATACCTGATTGCTTGAGCAAAATCCATTTCTACTTCTGGTTCCGGTGGTATCCGTGGCAATCGCTTAGTTTTGAATGCTTTGAACCCTGAACTTGTCATAGTCAACTCTGATCTAATTTTCAAAAGGGCCTCGGTGTCTTTTATCCAAGCACAGCTAGGCCCCACTGTTTCGTAAACTTGACCCTCGGGAAGAAATTCAGCTGGGAGTTCAATAATCTGAACTGGTTCAGGCTCAGGTTCTGGTTCAGGCTCAGGTTCTGGCTCTGGTTCAGGTTCCGATTCGTCTATAGCGCATGTGAGCCGGCAATCCTTCGGATCAATCAACGTTACAGATTTCTTTTTCGATTTTGAACCTTTCCTACAGAGACATTGTATACATTCACACGATACAGGTTTTTCTTTACACTCACAACTAGCTCTTTCAGCTGAAAGAAATATGATTAATTTTAGGATGTATAATGCGAATGTGTCGCAACCAACTAGTTTAATCAGCCTTTTACATATTTATTTAACAGTCTCACCTGTTTACTAAACTATGTAGCTTTTTGAAAGATATATTCAGCCATTTGATTAAACAGTTAGCCAAATACCAAATCTATAAGATTCTAGCGGCGGAACAGACGCCACTGTGTTCCAATTTACAAGGTTTATGATTGTGTCACTAAAACTAATTTTGTCAAATGTTTTAGAAGCCTAATTAATGTAAGACTAGTTGACCCAGCAAACTTCGTACCGCCTAAAATTTTTGCTTTTTACACCCAGGACTGCCACGAACATTTCAAGACCAAATCGGTTCAGTCGTTCTCGAGTTTTAGCGAGACAAACGAACGGCAATTCATTTTTATTTATTTAAATTATTAATTATTAAAATTGGCCAGCTAGTTTTCAAAATGTAACAAATATTAGATATAGCTGTATATCATTCAATGAAACAGACTGGGTTCAATGGTGCTATTTTAGTTAACAGGCTAGGCTGATTGAACTGTTGATTAAATAGACTAGTATTCATTCTAACTCCATCACTGTTCTGTAGCTAACCAATTAGTTTGTTACTAAAGCTATGAAATAAAACTCGAAACGAGCTAGCTGACAAAAGAGCTGAAAAAAATAAAAACGCACCGAAATCCTGACTACTGAGCTTATCTTTCATACCAGGAGGAATTGCCAACTAGTCACATGTTTTGGTGAACAACATTAAGAACAACCTTACAACCTCGCAAGATATTCAGGAACAAATGTGAAAGGTTTTTGAGGGGAGAATCAAATGACTCATCCCGCCTTGGGTGAGGCGTGAGGGTAGTGTCAGACTCTTAACAACTAAAACCACTCTGTTCCAATCTGTTCCGAGCCAGGTCGCTGTCTCGGAATCTGTCGAATAGCGATCCTACTGGGCCTTGTCGGTGGTGGCCTAACGACTCTTTGTAGTGCGCTCTAAACGTGACACGCCGTAGATACGTTTGGGTCTAGTCCAGGTCCGGAAGCAAGCTACCCATTCTCCCCGTCTACAGTCCCGCGTTTTCGGTACCTAGCTGGAAATCAACCCGCGATCCTCGATTGTTATTTCTAATATAACTACTCCTTACAGTACCTTAGCTTGATTGCATGGTTGGCGCAGTAGTTGGGTGTCCAGCTGCTGTGCAACGTGTCGCGAGTTCGATACCCGCGCCGGCCAAAAAGTCCGGTCGTGTCTGTCTGCCGCGCCATCGGGTTCAGAGGGTGAGGGAACAGAGAGTGCAGTTGTGTTTGTTCACACAGTTGTACTATAGTATCTCCTGCGTAATGGGCTAGTCCACTTAGACTGGCCACTATGTTCAAAATTAATTGGGAGATTTCATACTTTAGCTTACATCTTTTACCTGTATAACAAATCACCCTATATACAATATTTAACTCAAAAGTAGTTGCAATATATTTTAATAACCCTGTAGTAGTTGTTGTTGTAGTCCACTGACTAACCACATGAATGCTGAAACAATACCTATAATAATACATTCATCGAAAACAAAATATCAAAATACATTTTTATGCATAATTATAAATAGAAAATATATGTTGGAAATTTCGATTGGCACCTTGGCAAACATACATTCCCTCATTTATAAGTACATAGAAATATATTTTGATTATATATTATATAAACATAGTGATCTTGCAGCTGAATGTTGGACTACAAAACTGTGAACCTTGGACAACAATAACAAGGGTGTACCCACTTTTTGTCACTGCACAAGATTTGATGTTAAGGTCCAAATCAAAGATTATATACGATTTGCTTGAATATGGATGAAAACAATATGACGCCATCAAAGAGAGTATTTATTAAAGCAAGTAATTACTAGAATAGATCAACCCATCAGTTGATCTATGAATAAGACGACGTACAGAAAGGTTTCAAGAAAGCAATCGCTCAGAAAAAACTTAGTGCTCCATGTGGTAAAACAACGCAATCGCCTAGCAGAGGCTGCTTCTACCGTGGTTACAATCATTCGTCAATACCGAATTACGGATCAACTGTGAGCTCTAAAACAATGCTAATGAGCCCACAAACAAATTAAATAAAACGCAAAACAGTAGATTGGTATTGTTCATCACATCACTGAACATCATCTTAGTCTCCTTCCCTGTGAAAACAGATGACAGATACACAAACCCACAATTTGAAAATGAAAATTTATATTGGAATAATTCCTTTCAAATAAGATTACCCTTAACAAAAATGTATTTATTATCTATTATTATTATCAGCCTTAAATGGCCTCAATAAGAATAAGTTGACAAATATTAATTAGGAAAACAAAATGTATTTGCAATGAGTTCGTCTACAATGGATTCTAGAGGTACATCTAAATAAGCTTCTCGTTGAAAATAACTTTGATCAAGAATTTTCCTCTACTGACTACGTTAATTATTGTTATAGAAGTCTTTTGGTCCTAGGATTGTGAAAAAGCTAATATCGCCAGATTCTCTACCAACACATAAATAAATAAATTACACTAATACAGCAAAATAATAGCTCTAACAATTTACACATTAGATATAAGGTCTATAATAAAGGTGGGTGAGAAAGGACTCCTGTATCTTGCTTTAATCTGATTACGTAATTAAACTGTTACTTTTATTTAGTACATATCTCATCGCGACTGTTGTCATACAAAGATGGATACGTATCTTTGTTACTCTTTCACAAAGAAACTACTGAAAGGATTTAGATGGGCAGAGGTAATTTTAAAATATAGCGGACGATATACGCAGACGAAACCGCTGGCAAAAGCTAGTATAACAGGATACAGAGTCTATTTCACAATGTTTGATTAAGTTTCTGTTAGTTTAAATCCAGACGTACAAATAATGCTAAGCATTCTCCATAGCGAACGACCGACGTGGAGGACTAAGGGGGAGGCCTTTGTCCAGCAGTGGACGTCTTCCGGCCGCTGATGATGATGATGATTCTCCATAGCAATATACGATAAATCGAAAAGTGTCAAAATATGCATCAGTTAACTTCACGGAAACATAATGAAACTTTGCGAAAAACGACCTTGGTTTAGTTTGAAGAGAGGAATAAAGTTATAAACCATTAAAATAATGTACCTTTTGTAACAATCCCACATTCACAGTTCGGCATGCATTTACACGTGACACGCGTCTTTGAGTGTGGACCCATTTTTTTACATTCACAAATTGCTTTTGGCGGGCACTCTGAAAGGAAAATGAATTAAAAAAATGTTACAAAACCTTATTGTCCATAATATTTTGGTCATTCAAAGGACTAATAGAAAATAATATTGTACTACAACTTGTAATAACATACGATTACAGACACAGCGGTTCAGTGACAAATGATATAAGTTTTAATATCACATAGAACAATATTTATACATCGTGTAACGGAAACCCTATAGTATATAGAGGTAGATGATATAGAACCAATTTGCTAGGTTTAATTTAATACAAAATTCTCTAAAGATGTTTATATCTTGTACATCACTGATAGCGATCAGTGAACGTAATGCAAATTTCAAGTAGAACAGTTTGATGAACCATGATAATCAAGTCATGATAACGTCTGGTATGAAACTAATAAGTGCGAGGCCCTATTAATAAGACATATTGTATGGTTTGGGACGACGACGTCGCATTACAGGACGGCATGGGCACAGACGCAGCTGCGTCTCAGTTCATCCTTCGCAATGGATAGATACAAACGGATGACGCTCCGCTGCGTCGTCGCAACGGAGCTGCGACGACGCAGTGCCCCCCGCCTTGTCTCTTATCCGTCGATCCGTTAAACGTCGTGCGTAAGGACGCAACAGACGCGGGTGTCATAAAAAAGTATGGAAAACGACGCAGCAACACATCGCACTAATGAGGCTTCGCCCTAAGTCGTTAAAATATTAAGTAAAATAAGTTTTATACTTGGCATCAATGTGCACGCTAGGCATCGACAATATGGTTTGCATTCACATGGCTTTTTCGGCACCGGTATCGCACATGGGCGAGTATAATCGTCATCGTAGTATTTTGGCTCTGCAAACAATATAATTAATTATAAAACTTTATGAATTTTATATTTTTTACTATACCAATCTATCTAAGTATACACCTACACATAATTCTGCAGGATGATTTGTTATTTTGGTATAATGTCATAAAGTATTACAATAATTGTAAAACTTAATTGAATTAGTATCGTTTTGAATAACATCTTAGTCTTATAGGTATTTTTTAAATTAACATTAAAACTCAAATAATTAATTAATGTAATAACGGTTCATTATTGCCTATAAGTTTACAAAATGTTGAACACTTGCGTACGAGATTATTACGCTGCAATAAGAAATCAACCTGTAAGTAATAGTTATGATAATTACGGCGTGTTATATTCAAAATGTTTATGTAACTAACTGTACCTAACTACATGTCTAATTAAATGATGATTAACACGGGTTCGTGTTTGTGTTTACGACACAACAGGGCAGTGTACACCACTCCTTAGACAGTGCATTAAAAACCGCGGTTCTGACTCAAACTATAACATAACAACACGCCTCTTACCTCTGAAGGAGTAGGTGGACATGTGTAGATAAGATTATAGACAATAAAGAATAACTAATGGGCAATAATAAAAAATAATGAATAAAGTTAAATACATATATTAAAATGTATGTACTTCTCGGATTTTTCGATGTGCAATCAACACATTTACAAAATGGCTTGCATTTACACATTATTACATTTTTTCTTACAGGAACATATGGATCAGGGGTATTGGAAACACAAGTACCGCTATCTTTTACAACTGCAACAATACTATCGTTTGAACCTGCAACCGCTGTAATCAAATTTAGATGCATGATTAAGTCATTCTTTTAACGTATATAGCAAAACAAAATTAGTGTTGTATAAAAATAATATAACCTTCCAATGACTTACCTATTACATTGTCCTTTGAAGGACATGGAGGCTTTTTCTTCCAATGAGATACGTTGTCCTTGGAAGGACATGGGGGCTTATTCTTCAAATTAGATACGTTGTCATTTGAAGGACATGGGGGCTTATTCTTCGAATTAGATACGTTGTCATTTGAAGGACATGGGGGCTTATTCTTCGAATAAGATACGTTGTCCTTTGAAGAACATGGAGAGTTTGTTTCCGAATGAGATACGTTGTCCTTTGAAGGACATGGAGGGTTTTTCTTCGAATGAGATTTTTTTCCTATGTGTGAAAAGAAATTTGATATCCCTGACTTCTTAGGGGGATCAGTTTGACAGCGCACATTCTTTTTCGGATCCCTTTTTACGTCTTTTAGTTTTTCAAGAGCCGTACAAGGATCCGTATTTTTTATTTTATTAATACATATTTTTTTCTTTTCTGGTTTCGGCATACGTGTACAATCTTCGTTACATGACGGTGTGTTCGGTGTCACACCTTTCTCATGTAAGTCCTGGCACACGCAACCTTTTAATATCTTGCATTTCTTTTTTTGCTTGGGATTGATTGTCGGTTCCGCGGGACAAAATCTTAGTTCGAGACGAAATATATCTGAACCCATCACATCCGTCAAAGCGCCAACGGTTTTAGTCGATGGTTTTGGCCCGTCACCGGGGAGTGATATGGCATTGGTATGTTCGCCGCAGGGACAAGTTGCAAAGAAATTGTTTGTGTCACATACTATTTTAGGACATTCGCATGCCTCAATGTCCTCGTCACATAGGACTCTCTTATACTCACAAACTTTACGCGCGTGTAAAATTGCTGGGCCTCTAAAATCCGTGACCATTCCCCTAGAGCGTGTCCATGAGGTTGGTCCTGGCCGTGGACCCCCGTACACGTAGTGCTCGACACAGGCACAACTTTTTCCTTTTATCACTTCACAACCACATTTTCGTTTTTCTTTCTCACATTCTGAAGTAAATATTTGTTCATATTTTTAGTAGCTATCCACACAGTTCCGGGTACGGCCCTGCCGTGTTCCATCAAAATGGGAAAAAATCGGTTACGTACAACTTGCATGAAGACGTTCACATAGTTCCGGGGAAGGGCGCATGTTTGGACGCATGACATTTTTTATGTATATATAGGTACTATGTATTGGTACCTAAGTTTTAGGTCGGATCTAAGTATCTAGGTCTTCGTGGTGGTCTGTTCATCTTTGTATAGCGCTGTTACAATCATTCTTTATTGTTAATTATGGACTCAAATGTCCTCAATAGAAAATCTTTGCTATAACTCCAAAAAGATAAGTTGACGAATATTAATTAGGTAAACAAAATGCAATGAGTTCATCTACAATGGATTCTACATCTAAATAATTATGCTTCTCGTTGAAAATAACTTTGATCAAGAATTTCCATTATTGAGTAGGTTAATTGTTAGTCTCTGGGTCCTAGGATTGTGAAAAAGTTAATATCGCCAGATTCTCTACCAACACATAAATAAATAAATTACACTAATACAGCAAAAGAAGTGGATATACTGACATATACTACTAATGTGTAATAAAAATACGAAAACTAGCCACGATGTATGAATAGATGTATGTTTATTTATTCAAAATAGCAGTTTACTCGCGTAAACCAATGAGACAAGCTCTAACAGTTTCAAGTCACAACGGGGTTCTTGTGAGGTGAAACTAGTAGAACTTTTATCAATCATACCCATGTAAAATAGTTTACCAATTTTTTAGAAATAAGGTCTATAATAAAGGTGGATGAGAAAGGACTCCTGTATCCTCTTGCTTTAATCTGATTACGTAATCAAACTGTTACTTTTCAATTAATTTAGTACATATCTCATCGCGACAGTTGTCATACAAAGATGGATACGTATCTTTGTTACTCTTTCACAAAGAAACTACTGAAGGGATTTGAACGTGTAGAGGTAATTTTTCTTTCTTTCTTTCTTTCTTTCTAATTTTTATCCCGTAAACGCGGGCGAAACCGCTGGCAAAAGCTAGTATAACAGGATACAGAGTCTATTTCTCAATATTTGATTAAGTTTCTGTTTTAAGTTTTAATATTGAACAACAAATTGAAACAGACAATACTTACTGAAGAATACTTCACATGATTTGTCTATCATTATTTGTTCGTCTAGAAACAGACAAATTAATGAAGTATTCTCCACAAGAATATACGATAAATCGACAAGTGTCAAAACATGTATTTTTTCTCGGACTTTTTGTAAGGCGATGGAAACCCACGGCGTTCCCACATCGTGGGGACGAAAACCACCGTGGTGCTATTCGTCTGCCTGTGGCCATGATCCGGGGCGTCCTTGCGGATTCACCGCATCCAGCAGGCCTCGACCTACTGCTACATTGCGGCAGGTCCCACGCCCTTGGAAGCTGACTTCCTTTCTCAAGTGGCACGCGTTGAACACAACGCTAACGCCTACGCTATACAGCGGACGACTGACTCCCCTAATCAGTCGCCCGCAGTCCTCTCCTATGACGGTCGCAGATCGGCTACCACTTCGCGGCGTTGACGGCCGGTGGGTTTACGGCGGCGGGAAGGGGAAAGAACTAGACGCTTCCCTCTCCCTTTCAGCCGGCTCCTTTGCCAACATGGCATGTTCGCAGATAGAACTCGACTCTATCTCATGCACTCTCACTGTCGGCCATAGCTTGCACCACAGTCGGCAATAAGAGATCATTCCCATCGAGCACTGCAATGAGTTAACGATGCAGGTCTGCCGTATCCTTCCAAGTCAAAATATGCATCAGTTAACTTCACAGAAACATAATCAAAAGTTGGAAAACATGACTTTAAAGTAGGTTGAAGAGATGAATAAAGTTATAAATAAATAAAATAATTTACTGTAAGGAAAAATCCCACATTGACAGTTAGGCAAGCATTTACACTTGACACGCTCCGTTTTACATTTACAACGTGTTCTTGGGGGGCACTCTGAAATCAAAATTAATTTAACAAATATTACTAAATAATAAAATAAAATTTATTTTCTTAAGCTATTATTTCCATCTCAGGAGGAGGCAGACAAAACATGGAGTTTTTCGATTTCGAACAGAAAGTGTCTGTGTGGCACTTACCTCGCTTTCTATTATAATCGCAATGGAACTCGTAACCTAACTAGCGAGAAATGTATGAGACCACGAGAGTACTCCTCTGCTAATATCATTTTAAAAATACATTACTTGCCAAGCACGGGGCACGGCCGCAAATCCGATATGCTGGCTGTACCAAAACATGCGTCTTCTGTTGGACGAGTTTCTTGACTAGCACACGAGTTTGCAGACCCTCCTGAGGATTCTCCACTCGTACTTTCGCCGGAACTCGAGCACTCGTTATCTTTTTTACGTATTTTACTCAAACTGCCGCTTGTGTTCTTTTTTAAACTACTTTTTCTCTCCGCTTTGCTCACACCACTCTCGGACTTTCTTTTAGTATTGTTTACCCCAAGTTTAAATGAAGCTCTACTGTTACTGTGGTGACTACTTCTCCTTACGTCTTCTTTAATAGTAACACTGGGCCTCCGGTTCGTAGTTCTATTGTGTCTCTGGTTCCTCTCATCACTAGTACTGCTGCTGGAACTCGGTCCCCCACCGGTATTACGAATAGAACTGCGATGCATAGATCTTCTCCCGCGCATACTATCCAAACTACCGCTGTAATTACCATTTACAGTTACTTTTGCGGTTTGATACGAACTCAAATCGAAACCATTTGAATTGCATTCACAAGGCGCGGGTATATAATTATATTTGTTTAGACGTTCATTTATTGAAACTGATGACGATCTAAGGCGATTCTTGCGGTTACGCCGGTGGGTTGTACCGGACCGCGAATGGCTTGAAATGCAAGGCACAAGTATTGGAGGATTGGTCTTAGGTACGTTACCCGACTTAGTAAAACGACACCATTTGGGTCTTCTATCTGAAAATGGGTTAAACAAAATTTATAATTAATATTTACTAAATTACGTTGGCATTTAAATAATATGCAAAACCGTATTTTATCGAGAAATAAGAGATAATACGAGCAAAACATGAAATGATACCCTGAGCTGAGGATCGAACGCACCTCACTCAGTTATCGAGTTTAAGATTATTCCACGAACAATAGGCAGTCAGATTGTTAACAATAACAATGAAGTATTTTTATAAAGTACTTACAAAAAACAATTGTTTAAAAATGGTACCTTTCAGTAACAGTGGCCTAACTTGTCTTGATACATTAGCAACATAACAATTTCTTGAGGTGGCACTTTCTATTACGTAAGTAGTGGAAGAGATCTTAGGGAGACAGCAGCATGGCCTGTCTAGTGTCGTGTCCACTGCTACACCTCTCACACTTGCTAAATACCCTCCAAGATTGTCATTAGTTCTCACAAATTGACAATATTTATTTTTCATATCCATGTTAACATATTTTAAGACTCGTAAAGAATCTTTCTGTACAGCTTTTTCTGTATCTCTTGTTGCCGACAATACTTCTTGCATGTAAAACTTTTTTCCGCTTCCACACCCCACCTGGGGCCCGTGCACGGAGGAGATCGCCGTCATCGTGTCTAAAATAAATAATTAATTGTTTCTAAAATAAATAATAATTATTAAGAAATTGAGATTTATTTGTATAACACATGTCCATCATAACTTTTCGTTTCGTTTTTAAAATTCTTAAAGAACTATGACAGCAGGCGAAACAGTAATATAATTGGATAATTAATAGATTTCAAAAAATTCTCAACCTATATGTGTCTGCGTTTATCCACAAAACGCCAAATACGTTTAGCTGAACCAATTTTAGTGTAGTTTACAGTAAAATAGGTTTTTACATTCAGTGACTTAATAATTATCAATCCAGTAACCGGGCCCTGATAAATTAGAACAAAATAGGAGCAACGGCGACGTGAAAGACTGAAGAATGAAGTTTCGACATAGATTGATGAAACATTCTGCATCACTGGTCTACGAGGTACACTCTATGCCTAAACCTCGATACCTCACTTCATGGCGACCTACCTAGTTCAACAATAACTATTTATATCTGTTGATGTTAATAATATTGTGTTTACAATGGTATGTAACAAATGTATCACATCTCCTATATTAGGATTATTACAATTAATATAAGTACACTCTATATTTTTTTGCATTAGCTATCGTGAATAATAGATACTAAATTAATTAGAATATTCGGCGATTAAATGTCACATGAATTGTTCGAGAAAAGCTACTACTTTATTCTTCTCGGTTGGCCGCGGCACGTCGAGTCGTTAGTACGACTACTGAATGTAAGTATGGTAGAAGAATCTTGACTTCTGACTGCATTGTATCGGTAGCTGTAGTAATAAGTTGTGTCTGTGCAATTTCCCGTTTGTTACCTCCCTAGATCACATCGCAATCAAAGATCTACTTCAGTGGTTACCAAGCGGTGGTCCGCTGAAAAATCGTCCGCGAAATGAAATAAATAAACAAGACAACGCCTATTTGAAAAAGTCGGTTAAGGGTCGAATTAAACTTATGTCAAAAGAGACGACAGACAGGAGCTACTGATTTCAATAATCCAAAGTCACTATTATTTAAGAGTATGAACCTTACAACTCTGAAAAATATTTGATATGGGACCACACGCAAAAATGAATAGTGGAAGTCTTCCCGAACCTATCTAGAATGATAGATATAAGTGGTCCTTGACCAAGAAAAGGCCTGATCTAGATATGGGGTCTTTTTCAGTACTTTTTGTAATGAGTATTCTCTTTCTTTCATGACGTCATGGTGCTTTCATCCAAATTATTATGTCGCGTTTGCATTCGGCAAAAGTTATAATATATTATGTATCGACCCAATGGATTGAAAAATATTCTGCGTCATCATATCAGCCACTGTTGAACATACGCCTCCCCTATATAGGCTCCTATATGCACGAGCATAGATCGAATACTTAGTCTCAATCTAATTACGATGAAGAACAATGAATTTTATAGTAGATCATGTTATTTTAGTTTTGTAGTTCAGACTCAGCTGCAAGATCTATGTTTATAGAATATGTAATCAAAATATATTTCCATGTACTTATAAATGAGGGAATGTATGTTTGCCAAGGTGCCAATCGAAATTTCCAACATATATTCTCTATTTATATGTACATACAAATACAATTGAATTACATTATTTGGTCAAGACCATTACATGGTATATTAAATGTCAAAATGTTTGTTGTCATGTTCAAAAAACCATTTCATGTTTATGGAAACGAAATCTCCTCGTTACTGTCATGACGAGGCTCCTAAAGCAAAGCATTAAACGCTACCTGCTTCTATCAAATACCGAATTATTTTTGTTTTATCATTATGAGCCATGCACATACTAACGCAAGAATACTTACCAGAATTCGCTACCACTGGTGTTTCAACTGAACAAATGCTTGTGGAATCGATAACTTTATTGGATTCTTCATCTTCGTCAGATGTTGGTACCACTACGAATAGTGAAGATGCCTGAGTGAAACGTTTCCTTGCAAGTATCTTGTCTAATAGCTTCGATATATCGAATTTTCTTGAAAAGCGATTAAAAAGAACAATATTTCCTGTTACTGCACTTGGCCTTTTCTTTGTAGGAGTCTTAGTAACAAAATTACGTTTTTCTTCAGCCAATCGAAAGACAGCATATTCTAGTTGTGGATTGATTGTTCGAATATTCATTTTTCTTTTGGAATCGTCAATAATGACACGTTGATCGATCAACTCTTCGCTGAAGATAAGAAATGAAACGACTGTAAGTACCACAATACCTTTTAACTAAACACTATTTAGTGACACCTATTGTAAGTCTTACGGATTGCAACTGTACGATGTTTTATAAAAAAAATGCTATATATGTATTACCTCTACTCATACGAAAAAAGTTAAGAAATAATATTTGTTCCTTTTATTTACTGGAAAACAAGAATTCTCATTGGTGAGTTCATTTACCTTGTTGATCCATCCACTGAACTAATGCTTAAAAGTTCTTCGGAGGAATGGGTGCTGGAACAATGCTTAGAATGGGAAGTGATGTCACTGCTCCAATCTGACGTCACAGTCGTCTCCATGCTGTGACTGCTACTTGTGTCTAAACTTAAGGAAGCCTCACTATTTATCACTAAAATGGACACAGAACTGCCTGCTGTTGATTTAGATTTCAAGTTTTTAACATATTTGCAAACCTGAGCTGGTTTTTGAAGACGCTTCATATTTGCTTTTGGACCAACGCCTTTCTTTGCTCGCCTGTTACACGGATTATTATTAGTTGGCAAAAAAATATTTTTACTTCCATTCCCCCAATAATTACGTGAATAATTTTCAATGTAGCGAATATTTTTAGAGATATTAAAATATTTTGAATAAGCTCCGTCTATGTTGCTACTGTGCGTTTTAGGAGCCAATCCATCCTGTATTATCCGATTGATGTATCTTCTAGACATCGATGGAGCACCTACAGCACTACCAACAATAATTTTAATTCCCTTATTGTCAACAAAGTACCCCCTTTTACCGCCTGGGATACATCCTAAAGGACGATCACAGGAAGTCGGTATATCTGAAAAGGCCACTCTAAATTTAGTGTGACTATTTTTCAATTTGATATTCCTTTTGTTACAACCGCAGCCACGTTCACAAGTTGCTGTCTTGATAACGGCTTGATAATTTTGAGTTATATTCATTCGCGGTTTCTTTATTTCCTCAACATTTTTTGATTCTTTCTTCGTCTTGTAATGCATTGCGTCAGTGAGCCAATGGAATTCATCCTTAATTCTTTTTATTAAATCTTTTTCAGACGGCGTTTTACCTTTAGGTACAGGTAATTCTGCTTTAGCGAGGCCTCTTATTATTCTTACTTTCTCCTCATGTGGTTTATCACTTATTGGTGAGAAAAGCCCTTCAGCTTTTGCTTTTATGATAACTGACTTATGATCTCTACGCTTCTTAGTTGGAGGCATTCCGAGTTCTGCCTTAACGTTGCGAATCAAAGACTTTTCGGAAATCGTTTTGCCTTCTGGTAGGGTTACTCCATCTTGAGCTAATCTTTTTACTATTTTATGTTTCTCGGCCTTTGATAAACCTTCTAATGGTGTCAATATGTCTTCATCTTTTGATTTTTTATGTGCCAATATATCTGCATCTTTTGACTTTCTTTCGGGTTCTGGGAGGGGTAATCCTGCATCTTTTAATCGTTTCAATATTATTTCTTTTTCTGCTGGAGTCATATTCTCCAAAGCTATACTCACTGAAGATATATTTCGTCGAGGTGCCAAGCCTACTTTATTTTGAATTCTGTCAACTAAATATTTTTCGGACGCTGTTTTAGGTTCTGGTAAAGGAAGACCGGCTTTAACTAAGTCTATCAATATCTTTTCTTTCTGTTCAAGGGTTTTGCCTTTTAGTGGTGTTAATAATCCAGATGATTTTCTATGTCTCATTTTGTCTATCATTAACTTATGTTTTGATACTGAATCGTCTACCATTTTATTTATTTGATCCTTTTTAAATAAAATCTCACCTTCCGGAATCGAATCTCCTGCATTTATCACACCCTTATTTAGTGGCTTTCCTTCCAATAGCGTTATCACACTAGCTTTTGAAGGAGGTTTCTCTTCAGTTTCCCGTAAGGTTTCATTTCCTTGTGGAAGACCTAATTGTACTCGAACTATATCGATTAATTTTTTTTCAGACGGTGTTCTACCAATAGGTAAGGGTAACCCGTTCTTTACAAGGTTTCTTAAAAGTTTTTCTTTGTGTTTTAAATTTTTTCTTTGTGATGGTGTTAAAGCTTCTGCTAATTTAACATCTTGTTGCGTTACGTTGCCTTGCGTAGTTTTGGGTTCTTCATTTTTCTGAATTAATTCTTCTTTTGGCGGGGTTATTTCATCTAAAGGTGGAATATTTGCCTTTGTTGTAGCCTTTGTTGTAGATTCAACTGGTAAACCAAGATCGCCTTGAGGCTTCACAGTTAATTTTATTTTTGATTGCATCTGGCCTTCAAGAACCGGAGCAACATGCTTAGCATCAACATCAGCAGCAACATGCTTAACATCTTTACTATCTCTTTTGGCTTGGGATTTTCTTTTTGGCACTGTCAATAAGCCGGCGAATTTTTCAGACATTCTTTCATTCTTCATTTTTATTCCTCCTTGCAACTTTTGATCACCACAAAGTATACAATTACAATTCAAGCAATTCTTCTTTTTGTAACAATTATACAAGCCTTTCATCACTTCAAATATAGCGTCAGAATTACAAGAACAACAGCATGTTTCATCAGGCCCAATCACTTGACATCTGTAAATTTTGCATGAGCTTTGGTTTAAATGGTTGAATGGGCTTGGAGCCGTGTTGAATGGACGCTCAAACACCATATTAACGATATACTTTGATAGGAAAAGATTGGTTTTATATTTGTTTCGCTTGTCCACTGCATGGCTACTTTTATCAAGTTTTTCACACTTCTTTGTTTTAAGCAGGCTGAAATAACGTCGCTTAACTTTTTGTTTCTTGAACTTGTATGATATTGAAGAACGATAAATTAAACCTGGTTGTGGATTCGTTTTTATTTGTTTGTATTTTTTCTTATTGACAGTAAAGCTTAACTGTCTACCGTGCTCGCTACTTGACTCATCCCGCTCACAAGAAAAACAATTTTCATTTTTCTGCTCATATGAATGCACACAGTTCGAACCCAACATTTTTATAAATACATACACGAGTCTCACTAATAATTTAGAAGTTAAATCTATTAAAAATTACATATTCAAGAATCTATTATAGTATATATATCATAATATAAATTACGATATTTATTCCTAAAATGCATTAATCGGTAATCATAACTTAGTGTTGCTCTATTTTTTTTTTTTTCAAAAAAGTTTATTTAATCTGAAACAAGGAAAAACACGAATGCATGAGACTTAAAATGGCAGTAAATAGTTTGCCGTTGAATAAAGTAGCGATGTAAACAGACTATCCCTCACAGATTGTCCCTATTACATGGGACTCATAACATAAATAGTGAAAAGTGGGTGTTACATTGTACAGTGGGATAATGTGCATGTGATCCTCTGCTTACCTCTTCGGGGATAAAAGGCATGATTTTATATAACATAATATGTTATGTAAACAGACCAAATAAAATTATTATCCTCATTAGTTTAAATGTCCGGCACCCGACAAGCCGTTAATATTGGTGTTGTTATCCTCTACTCATTCAAATGGTAATAATTATTGTCCAGCCACCACCCCATTGGGATATTAGTTACTTAAGAATATGTGGAAATATGAAACACTAAATGCTTTGGTGTGAGATTCGGATAGACTTCTTTATTTTAGATAAGTGATGATGAAGATTCTTCTAATCAACCTAGTACAGTATGGTTGTATTTATTTGTGTATAGAAGTTCTAATGCCTTACCTCTTCATGTTCTATTGAACTACTCATATTCAGCTGCCTGTGGCAATCCACTGCTGCTCAAAGGTCTCCTCTTAATAAGAGGGTTGCTATATGCTCTACGCTTAGTATGAGGGGTTTTTAACTGCCATGTCTAGATAGCAGTTTAAAAATCTCGGGTTTATTAAAGAGAGCTACTACCCAATTTCTATCAACTAATTTCTATTTGTATCAAGTATCGTGTAGTTCCTTTCTTATTATACTAGCGGGAAGAATAGTCTTTACCTTAACTTAGATAATCCGGAACAAAAACATTTCGTTTACAAAGCTGTGGCCTTTAGAAGTCATAAATGGTGATTTTGTTAATATGCATTAGGTGTTTCTGAATGATAAATATTTTATTTTGTAAAATTATTAAAAACGTTTCGACAATGATTGACACATTTTTGTCATTTGAGACAAATTTGAGATATAATATTGTAGTCTTTGATTTGAGATATACATTACTCTTTGCATTTGAGACTTCAAAGTTTAGGTTTCCCCTATACTTACTTATACTCTTTGGTACAAGTCAAGTTATGGTCAACTCTAAGTAGTGATGAAGTACAAATACAAACTTTATTCTTTAAAGTCAAAGTCAAAGCATTTATTTCAATTACTTATTAATTAATTATTTTGGTACTTTTGAAACGTCATGAATTACAAAATAAATAATAGTCTGTCAGTCAGTCCGTCAGTGAAACTAGGTGAAGCTAGATGCTCATTCCAAAATGTAGATTCGAATGGAGAAGAACGAGCAAGAAACTCCATTCGTTACTCTTTTTTGAAAAAGTATGTTCTACAATGTCTCTGATACACATTTCAATACTGTACGCATATGTAAGAGAATAGTCAACTACTAAATAGTGGAGACTCAATTGCCATAGAAGAAGAAAAAAAAAAAACAATGCAAAGACACGCTTGACGCATTATACTAATAACTTACCAACTAAAATAAAAAAAATAAAAATTTTAAAGTCTAACATGGTGCTCACATATGCATACTGACAATTCATAAAAATAGTGCTTCTATACAAGAAAAAGGAAGTCTAAAGAATCGTCCCATTAAATCTAATCACATTAAGGTCTATGTAGATATAAGGTCATTACTCAATAAAGCCACTAGAAGTTCATAAAAGGCAGGAGGTGCATCAAAATGTGTGTAAAAGTGCCAATCGACATTCTGTAGTAGGTAAGTAATTAAAAAGCTTATCGGGGTGTTTTGACGCACATACTAAATTAACTAAAAATCGTGTGTTACTCGCGTGAATATGCTGATAAAAGCTCTACTAGTTTCAAGCCACAGAGGAGGCTGCGCGACATCGCTCAGTTCACGTGAGCAGTACCCCGCGACTTATAGTTAATGTTAATGCACGATGTTGTAAATTTTGCAAAAATATACTTTCAAATATATTTCTTACAGTTAATGGATGTACCCAGTACCTATGGCGGCGGCTATATAAATATCAAAGCTACAACACATGCTGGTCGCCAGAAATCCATGGTGAAATGAAATAAATTTAAGTAAACGCTAGCCGCAGTGCGTGTTAATGTGCGTTTTAGCGTTTTCAGCTATTCTTAAACCGCGAGCGTTTAATCGCAGGCCAAGCCTAAAGAATACTTCCTCCTTTTGCGAAGCAGTCATGCTAGCTAAGGAGGAGGCGTGAGACGCGTGAGGCAGCTAAGCGCTGCCTCCTCGCAACCCAGCCATCGCGAAGGACACACCGGGCGTCGGGGATCGCGGGACGATCTCCGGCCACCGTAAGCGCGGGCCTGCGGACGGCGAGCATGGGTGGCTCCCCGTCCGACCAGAAACAGACCCGAGCGTACGGCGCGTCGCGTTCCGCGCGCGCCTCAAAGAGCCATCAGACCACCACAGATGGGGCCCAATAGGGCCGATGCCGATTCGGAGTCGCGGAGAACCTAACGGGTAACCGAGGTTCCGGCTCGACGTGCAGAAGAAGGAACGGGGTGGTTTTTAGTCAGTAAGAGTCTGACACTCCCTCTCGCCTCACCCAGGCGGAAGCAGTTATTCGATGATTTTCCCCCCTTAAAAAAAAAAGCCTAAAAAATACTAACTGCTCAAGGCGAGACGGTGCTAGTCAGGGTCGTACACCAGGTGGCTCCAATGAGCGAAGACCTATATTGTGCTTGCATCTTCAACGAAATAAACGTGCATAGATATTTAGTGTGTTAGTTCTCAGTTGATTTTTTGAGGGAGGAAAATCATCCAATGGCTTCTCCCACCTTGGGGAGGCGAAAAGGAGTGTCAAACTCTTACTAACTAAAAACCTCCCCGTTCCTGCTCTTTCATCCGGAGCCCCGGCAACCCAATTGGGTCTTCCGCGGCTGCGTATCGGGCCATCTATAAGGGCCATTTGTGGTGGTTAGATGGCCATACGCTCAGATCTGGTTCTGGTTAGGTGGCGAGCTACCCTTGTTATACCGTATGGTGACGGCAGGGCAGAATATGTGTACCTACACATTTTGTACCATAAACCTCTCTTCCCGTGGATCATATGACCCGACCGACTAAGCAGTGGCGCTCTTTACTACACCTGAATAGCAGTTTAAAACTGCGATGTTCATCCAGTCAGCGTGATTCACTGGAATTCACTGGATTACGATGGGCCTCCTCTAGGTACCTAGTTAGTTCTGTTATGGGTTATTATCACGGGTTGATGACGTGAAATACATTAAAATAAAAAGTCGTAGAAAAAGAGACTACTTACTAATTTAATGCAATCCTTTCAAAACAGACACTATACAGAATCTGTGCCGTTGCGAAACTGAAAATACCAATAGCAGGTACTTTGCCGCCCGAACTCAGCATCAAACCCAAACATGCTGTACCTACATAAATATAAATGTAAATAATATAAATATGCGCCATCTATCGTCATCTTGTCACACCATCTGGAACACAACTGAACAAGAAACCACAGACTAACTACATCACATAAAGATGTCATTAAAAAAATATTGTAAATGATTGCAATGATGGCAACCTTGGATGGCAATCATTATTATAGCAATTTTTATTTCAAACAAATCATGTTACGTAAATGTCGGTCAAAACTGTTACATTCACAAATTCTTCATTAAAACAAATAAGTAATATAATAATTAGAAATATATAATAATTGACGTATTCGAAACTTATAAAAATGTTTGTAGATGAATCTTCACCATCCTAAATTAAATATGCAATCCGCAATCCATTTTCTAAATATTATCTGACATAAAATATTAATGAAATAACATTGAAACTGAAATAATTTTATTGGCCTAATCATTTGAATGAATTGTGTGTCATAATCCCATTCATTCCCATCTCTAAAAAAAACATGGCGAGCAGCGAAGTGACTGGTTATCGTTCACTCATTTCAAATCTTTTTGCCAACACTAGTAGATTAATAACTTTGCCGTGCTTAGCTTGTGACAGACATTTTTGAATATTATTTTTAAACAATTGTTTCTGCTTCAATATGAGTAAGTACAACTATTTTTAACAATAATGTATTACTTTTGTGCTTATTATATTGTCTTTTATTTATAATATGTAAATATTGGGACGTAACATAAATATTGCACGTGTCGGCACGTATTACCTACTGTGTCTTTTCTTCGAACTTGGAAAATTATGTTTAATTCAGTATAAAAGAAGTAAATGGGTGTTTTATTGAGGAGTGAACTTTTAAAAGGTTGTTTTAGGGTAGAAATGTTTTGTTTTAAATGAGATCTGTGTTAATTTCTTTTTTTATAATGTATCATAACGGTTTTCTTTTTCATTGTTATATGGATGATGCGCTAAGGTACCTACTTAACGGACGCTGTTGTAAACTTATGTCTGCCGAAACGCGAATACTGACTAGATTACGTTTAATATAGTCAGTTGAATATAATAACAGTGTTTGTTGAATATCGCGCGCGATTTTAACTCCGATGATTCAATTAACTTAAAAGTACTATTTCACAGAAAGATTGAAAGTAGTTACGAAGTTATACTGGTACTTACTTATTTAGCAAAAAAACAAAATAATGTTTAAAATATTGTTAAACTACGAATTACGATTTAAAAAATATACTTAGTAAATTTTTTATTAAGTTTTATTTGAATGCATTGGACAGAATGGTGATAGTTGGAATGCCAATAAAACATAATAGTTACCTAGAAATTCTACCCGTATTCTCATTATTAATTTTAATAATCAATTATGTTACTGGAATGCGAGAAAACTACAACAACAGTAGATACTATTGTATGATAGTATGATATATGGATCCAACTGGATGCAATAACATAAACTTATATATATATAATAACATAACTGAAATTAATATTTATTACATATTGAATATTTTTATTACCTACCTTTTTAATCTCTATTTTTAAATACCTGTAAAATTGGAAAGGAAACTGAATGCAAAACTTATTTCAAATTTTAAACTCAGTTTTATTACTCTCAGAACAAGATTCTAGAAGTCTTAAATGAATCAATACAATTATTTACCTTTCATATCTCTACTAACAAACAAGTTAAAACAAATATAAACTAGTCTTAATTAAATCATTTTCCCTTGTTGATATTATAAATTATAATATTTCATCATCATCATACCATAGGACATCCACTGCTATACATAGGCCTCTCCCGATTATATTATTTATGGACCAACATTTATTTTATATCATAATTTGTTCTTCTAAAAATTCTATATTGCATGTAACATCTCGCTATGCGATGCTAAGCATATTTTTCATAATTAAGTTGCACCAGCAAATATTAAAAATTACCTATGAAACTGTTTTAAAAAAATGGTAATTTTGTTTGTAAGATTCAATATTGAGTGCAGTTAAAAAAACCTTATGCAGATTCAGTCGCTTTGCTTCTATTGATCATAGTATGATGTTTTATAGTATACTAGCGACCCGCCCGGCTTCGCACAGTTGCAATATAAATGTATTTTACATATAAACCTTCCTTAAGAATCACTCTATTTAGTAAAAAAAGCTCATCAAAATTTGTTGCATAGTTTTAAAGATCTAAGCATACATAGGGACAGACAGATGATGGTTAGCAACTTTTGTTTTACACTATGTAGTGATAACCTATCTCGATAAATGGACTATCCAACACTAAGAATTATTCAATATGAACCAGTAATTCCACAGATTAGCACAAACTCTTTAGCTTTGTAATATTATTGTTAAGTATAGATTTTAATTTTATGAAACAATTCCCAGTTGTTCATGATATGACTAAGTTATTGTTATAGCTTAACTGATACATTTCATGTAGCAAATTTACCTAATATTATCGGCCACTTAGACTCACGGAAACTCACAGAAACACAAGAACACTCCCAAAAAACGCTGATAGGTGAGGGTAACAAATAATTTTATTTTCATAAAAGTAGGGAATCAAATAGTTCTGTTATGTAATAATAGTTTTAGTCAACTGCTCAAGGCTGATGTTGCATGAATAATATGAACACAAAAATAATTTGAATAAAATTGTTAAAGCAATTTCTCTTTGTCAGCGTTTTGGGAGCATTCAGCTTTCTTCACATTGCCTATTTTTCGAGAACAGCACTTAATACTTGACTCGGCAAGATTTCAGTACTAAAACCACAGCTACAGCAGTACTAAAATATTTACATACAATTAATGAAAGTAACTTATATAAAATGTATCTAGATAAAAATTATTATTACTTGTTAGTTACAAAACTATGTTCCTGTAATGTATAAAGCTGCAGAGTATTTTTTGAATGTGCTAATGTCTGAAACTACTGGTTTGAAGTGAATAATTCTCTTTAAGTTGGATAGTCCATATATTGAGGAAGGCTATAGTATCCTATAGACATAAAATATCAAACTACGATTAGAAATGAGCCGAGCAGCCGGTAAACTATACCCGATTAGCTAGTTGTTAACTAACTCAGTATTCTTATTTATCCACTCTCCACTAACTACATTGTAGACCTTATTTACAATGTATAAGAACTGCTTTTGTATGAACAAATTTGGGATGATATTTCAACAGGTTAATGTAATTGGGATGCCTCACTCAAAAATAAATTATATCAATATTGTACAATCCTTTCGATGAAAATATAGTTAGAATTCATAATTTTTCACAAATATGCGACATGTTTGTCAACATACACTACCGGTCAAAAGTTTTTGCCCACCCTATAGATTGCGTGATACACAGCAAATAAAAACAACACGATCGATTTTGATATTTGTATTTTAAAGAACATTTAAAAATACAAATACAGTAATAATAAAATTAGGGTATGTAACTGTTACACATTTAAATTTTTGATTCATCGATGTAACCCCCTTTAGCTTTTATTATTTCGGTGCACAATATTGGCATTCTCTGTAATAATTTCGACAAATAATCGCCGTCTATTCGGTTCCATTCGTTTCTTAGGATACTCCAAAGATGTGAAGTGGAAGTAGGACACTGCTTTCTGACTTCCCTGTCCAATTTGTCCCACAGCAATTCAATTGGGTTGAGATCGGGTGACTGTGACGGCCAAACCATTACTTTCAGTACATTTTTAATTTCTAATTCTTTCAAATACTCTTTGCACAGCTTTGAGGAATGCTTAGGATCGTTGTCATGCTGGAAGATAAATGGGCTGCCAATTAGGCGCTGGCCAGAAAGTATTACATTTTCCTCTAATATTTTTTTATAGCCTTCTTTCTTCAAAATCCCTTCAATTTTCACCAAGTCTCCAGTTGCATTCTTTCCAAAACATCCCCAAACCATCACCGAGCCACCTCCGTGTTTTACAGTTGGGATTATACATGGATCTAGCATTCGTTCTTCCTTTGACCTGCGCACAAACACTCTTCTCTTAGACCCAAAAACCTCAAACTTTGTCTCATCACTCCATAAAACTTTCTCCCAATCTTCATGCGTCCAGTTTTTATGTTCTTTAGCCCACTGTAACCTCTTAAGTTTATTTTGACGTCTTAAAAGAGGTTTTTTTAACTGCCACCCTTCCAAAAAGCCCAGCTTCTCTCAATCTTCTTTTCACCGTTTAAGTGCTTAAAGGTAGATCTCTAGATTCATTGATCTGAGGTGTTATCTCTGGACCAGTGAGTCGTCGATCGCGTTTACTGATCAATACAATACGTTTATCTTCAGCGGTTGTGATTTTTCGAGGCCGTCCTGAACGTTTTCTATCGCCAAAACTCTCGGTGGATGCATATTTTTTCACGTTGTAGTCTACGGTACGTCGAGGTATTTTTAATTCCGCAGCAATGGTACGGTTACTTTTGCCAAGACTATGAAGAATGGCGATTAATGCACGAGTTTTTATCGATAGTTCCTTGGTTTTAACCATTTTAAAACTTCCAAGTCAGAATTTGCGAGATCGGAAAAAATTCGAAGATGAACTTCACAAAAATATGTATTTGACTAAAAATTAGAAATCACAACACGTTCTCACGTCTCACAGGGCTAACTGAGACTAAACTAGAATCATAAACACCAAAGAAATAATTCACAATTTAAAAATAATAAGCAAATCGGCCAGTACTTGTAGGTTTTAACTTGTCGCACTCACCGACAAAATATAAACACGCACTCGTATAAAGTAAATAAATAACGCACTTTATTATTTTTGGTTTGTAAAACACTGTTTCGGCCTTCTCTTGACGATATGGTAGAAAAATATACTAAATTGTACTATTTTGAAATTTAATGAACTGATTACGGGGTGGGCAAAAACTTTTGACCGGTAGTGTACATCTATCTATAGTCACCTCTTTTTGTCAGATTATTTTAATAATTTACATACTCATGCAAAGCGAACTTGTATATCAACAAACTAATTTTCATTTCAAATAGTTATTATACAACATTATTAAACATTTTTAAGTTAAAAACTAACTCAACGGTCGCGACTACAACTGACGTAAATTAACGCTCAAAATTGGTTTACTAAAAATTCTTTTTATAGAGTTTCTGTCAAAAAACTACGCCTAGACCGATTTTGAATCTTTTGGTCATTATTCATTAATAATGACCAAAAGATTATTAATGAATAATGACCAAAAGATTCAAAATCGGTTCAAAATTGGTTGACCATTAACCGATCTTAACATCTTAACAGAAAACTCAAATAGGTACAATTTTATTTTCTTAAATCCTTTGGCAGGGTGTGCCACTGAATATTTCCATGTTTTAAAATGAAGTAACGGTTTTCAGCGCGCGAGCTAAGGTCATCATACTTACGAACATGCAAAGAGCTTGAATTACTTACCACAACGTCGGATTTATATTTGATCAATTTATTTGACCAATAAGACAAGGGCTTTCTTACTTATTTTCTAGATTTTTATTAAATGAAAATCAAACATTAATTCTCTTTTTCATATTAAGTTGCAGAATAAATAAGTATCAAAATTAGCATTGGAAGATAACGAAGTATTATGAAGGATATCCAACATTATAGTCATTATATCGA